ATGACTTGTATTGCAGAGGCAACGGCCACTACTGCTGAGTGTGACACGAATTATACATGCACAATAATGTTCGATACAGTACCGTACATACTTTATACCGCATAATGCTGTATTGTACCTTGGCATGTAGCACATTGATTGTTGGTTGACTTGTTCATACCATCTCATTGATCGTCACGGCTGACATTAACGTGCGGTGACTGACGACCAATGATGCTTCTATGCAGATGCCTTGTCAGCTTTTTGATGACAACATGAGGTTGTCACAGTAATGATAATGAAGTGTGGGAGGTGGATTTGAGATGTGTTACTGCTTTAGAAAAGTGCTGTTCTGGAAAATTGAGTGTGTATTGGACTACATTGTAATGTACAGCACACAGGAGGCGTAGTACTTTAACGCTATTGGTAATATGCAGTCCTTAAACTCGATGAGAGACGCTCCAGGAAGTGTCAGTTTGAGTTGGGGGAGAGCGTTAAGTACGGTTGGTTAAACATTACGTTCTGCCTTTGTGCAAGTATTGCTCACAATGACTCGGAATTATATTGCTGTGCCCAATTTCACTGCTACTTTAACACACCTTTGTAGAGTTAATAAAACCCCATAAGCATTGCACACAGCACAATATATTTTTGATTGATGATTCACCACTGAATGACATACACTATAGAGTACAGCACTCTAATTGGTCACATTGTTGATGTTTTTGTATACTCTCTATATAAAATATGTATCTATTTAGGTGCTTTCCTGAATCACAAAGATAACTCGGATGTTGACATTAAGGTTATAATTTTAGATTCCTCGGAAATATACTTGTATTTTAAAACATTTTAAACAAAAAGGCTGAGGATTATGAGCAAAATATACTGCTCATATCCTTCAGATGGTAAACCACAGTTACGCAAGGGCCAGATGCTTAGTGGTCCACTTAGCTATTTCCATGTAACTCCATCCTCTAAAGGCTGGCAAAGAATGGCCGTATTAGCTTTCAATTAAAATTACATGGATTTTCAGCAGTTGCATGGAAATGTTGTACAGCACTGTATAGGCTAAACGCTGTAGATGGCGTGGGCGATTTAAATGTTGTCATTGTCTGAGAGCCCTATCAATGATATTGTCCGTGTTTGCATGGGAGGACGGATATTTCCATGTTTTCCTATGCACCTACACGTGTCTAGGATGGCATACTCATCGTTACTTTTTAATATCTTAATAGTTTAAAACTAGTACCTAAAAATGTGAATAAGAAATAAAAAAAATGTATGTAATTCATAAATAAAACGAGCCAAGCAAGGTTGGTAATTTTGAGTAACACTGAAAACACCATTTATTCTGAGACGATAAGTTATTGACAGATTTCAATGATGGTGCACCCATGATGAGCTTTTGTCTACACAAATATGTAGTGTTTTTCATTAAAGCAAATACGATCCATAATTTTATCTTGATTATGCTATATCGGCAAGATGTCATGCGAAGAAGTGTCCATTTGGAGCTGGCTTGAAAGTCTGCAACTCTTTGCACAGGGATATTAGAGATCACAATATCACAGAGCTGCCTCTGAATCCCTTCAGTTGGTCTCTGTTCCACACAGTGAGATGCAGTACATTTCCACCCACTCTACCAAGCTCAGAATAATTATTCACACAGCTAGACTTTAGCCAAGTCATGTGCAGAAACAAATTTAATTAAATGCGTTTTAATTTGTGCAGCCATTGATGACTGACTGTGCTGAGACCATCAGTTCACTCCACTTGAGAATCCAGTTTAATCACAGGCAGCTTCCTGTATGCAAATCCAGGATCTCGACGATGCCAGCCCAGTATTGACCTCTTGAGTCACATTCTGTTAAGATTGAAAATGATGTATTCGTGGCAACAATAGCGTATGTGGCTGCAGGGGACCTTGGGTCTGAGCTGTGAGACTCTTCCCTCCCCCCCACCAAGTAAAACGTTGTCTTGCTCACAGATGCACCTTTAATTAAAAGCTTCAGGGACGTGCAGACACCTAGGGGAGAGTCCTGGTGACAGGATGTACAGTTCACAATAATGAAGTCAATTCTCAGTACAGTATTCAAGCACTCTTGCAAAATTACAGTGTATACATGCAATTCTGAGGGTTTTTTTAACATTTTGATATGTTGAGTGGTACAATGGATAGCGAGCGCCCTGTTCAATTCCTGACCCCACGGCTTGCATCAGTGGTGAGCAATAACTGACAAAGCATGGTGAAGTATGGTCATGCAAACCCCTTGACCGACATGGCTTGAGGAGCCCTTCATTATTGGCTTGACAAAAGGCTATAAAGTATCCTTCACGATTAAATGATTATGATGATGACAATCTATCAGCGTCACAGAATGTTTGATCTTTCTAAGCTGTACAAATCCAGCCGACGCTCACAATTGTCATCTTATAACCATTTAAGTTACTGTTTAATGATCGACTCTCATGACCAATGATGAATTGGCGTAAGTGCAGTTGTAATTCTTGGGTCGGGGTGATGTGGGAGCAAGGGTAAGTGTTCAGGATAGTTTGCAAAATGAGGAAAACCGAAGCCGCTTCTACGCTCCTCGATGCTTTCCTTTCTTCACCAAACCGCACTGACTAGCCCGGCGGAGTCCCCTGCGGTTCAAATAATCGCGCGCACCCCTGCACGAGAAGGACCCTCCTCATTCAGCAGTGGCGTGACAAAGGGCTGCACGTGTGCGTTGGCGACGCACGCCTGCAATCCAGCACTGTGGAAGCGAGTAGTTGGTGCATCTGCACGCACGTTGTGCGAAACTCCCTTTTCCCCGGCCGTCGAGGTGCCACAAAACTGGCTCGCCGTGAGACGGTAGTTCAGAGAAAGTGGACTCGCCGCCGTCTGTTTTCACCTGTACGGGGATAGAGTATTGCTCCCTCGCGCGCGTGGGGTTTCCTCCCCTTGCTCTGGTTTCCTCCCACACGTATGAACTCGCACATTGGCTGAAAACATCTTGAAAAAAATAACAAGCCTAAAAAGAGATTCGGCGTGATAATCCTGGATGAATGATTATCATAAGATTGGTGAGAGTGAGTTGAGACGATTGCTTATTTTACAAGAGAGACCTGGTGTAAAAGTAATAAAATACAGGGAACAAATATGATGGTGGGAGAGGGATTCAGATATACGTGATGATATAACCTTGCAAAATCTAAGGTAGTAACAATAATGAAAAAATAATAAATTGGAACATACTTGAATTAAACCAGTAAATAGTTAACTCAAAAGTTAAATATTAATGCAGTCGTACCCCACTGTACAGTCAACACACAGCGGTGTATAGACCACTAGGGTTGGTAAAGCATGGTCACATCCCTTCACAGACCGTGAGCCTAGAAGACGGTCACCAGCATTAGCGATTCGTCAGCATTGGTCCAAGCAAGCGTGACTGCTGACGAGACACTTATGTTGAAACTAATCCAGAGTTTGCTTGTACTGAATCAATGCTGCTGACATGAATGCGTTCCCAGTGTCATGTTGCATAAATACTTAAGTGTAGGGACAGATACATATCAATGAGATCTATTGTCTGCTTATTTATTGTGACTAGTGTTCTCCAAAACGACGACAATTTTCAATTCATTTACATTACAGTATTTCCAAAGGCCATTTTTAAAGCTTGTGATTTAGTGATAGTTTTGATTGGTGACTGCCTTGGGCAGGAACACCACTTGATGGACGATATTGGTAATGTAACAGCAGCCAAAGGAGGGGAACGTGCCAGCAAAGGACGAGCACAACGGAGAGGGATCAAAGAGATGAGTTGATGTGCAGCAGCGAATTGTATTGTGGCACCGCGAGATCACGAGAGATGGCGACAACGGAGGGAGGCCTTCATCCAGCTGAGGAGAAATCATGGCCGATTATAATGAAATAAGTGAAGTAAAATCATTTATTGCACCTTTTTTGTGTGTGGTGTGTTGCTTTACCCAGTAGATCTATTATGATAGCTGGTGTGATTATCTGCATGTTATGCCTTGTTACTGGAGGGAAAGGGTGATGTCTTTGTATCTCTTGGGATCTGCTGCTAGGCTATTTCGATTTTTTTCTTTTGTCTCTGTTTACCAGCTGTTTCATTGCATACAGCCTATCTATATAGGTAATATATGAGATGTTTTGGGATATTACCTTCTTGTAAATACTGTAGTTGAAATTACAGCTGTTTTCCAGCAAGCAGTTACTTTTAAACCCCCTTTCAAATCTGGGAGTGTGCTCAATGTTACAACTAAAACAATTAAACCTAAGCTCGCTTATTCACCAGCTTTTTTGCCGTGTGACAACTGAGCAACAATCATAACGTTGACACTAACTGCAGTGAATACATAATTATGCGAAAGTAACTTTGTCTTGTTACTTTCTGCATTTATTTGGGAATGGCGTATGAAGAGGGACCGCTCCGAGTTAGTCTTACTGTGCTGTGCGTTATTGTATAATAGATAGTGATAGATAGTGATGCACATGTCGATCCACTGCTCAATGAGTGCCCTCTCCACGCCATGCGGGTTGCGGGGATTATTTTACCATACTTCACCACACTGGTCAATGCGGGATGGTGAAGTAAGGGCACATTTACATGGTATAGTACAACAATGGACGTTGGTCTTTTCTCTGCTGACCACAAAGTAATACAGCCCATGCACGCTATTTGAAGGCTCAACCCTGCTGAGTTGAGATCTTATATTGTGTCCAAATGCCACGTTTCAAGATGCTTTTGGGGAGCTGGCTAAAATATAAAACTGTGAATGAAGGTAAATGGGTAGTTGCGGGTAAGTGACAACGATGCGAGTGCTGCGGTGCTTTTAGAAAGTGCTGAGAATACTTTGGTTGTGGACACGCTAATTGTTTTGGTATGCAGGCGATAATGGATATGGGTGATGGTCAACCGTCATTTCATGTTATGCTCATGTCACATGTATTTCCTCTTTTGCTCGTTGTCACATGGACTGTGTGTAAAATGTGCTGTTTGCATTGTTAGGTTCGTTGCGAAGCCGTTTGCGATCTACTTGAATATCCAAGCACGCAGGTTCACGACAGCTGTTCCACACGCAGCTTTAGAGAACATTTTCAAGACCGTGACCAAGGTGACTTTGCTTACATTTCTAAAGCGGATAGGAATTATGTGATGGCTCATTTGCACAGCAAATATCTTAGCATCATGATGCTACAAGTCCATTGTCATGTTCATCGATAGAATTCGGCTTTGTTGTGAAACAGGTGCCTTACATAAGGCCAGAACAAATAATGACTGTATAATATGTACCTACAGTGGACTCTATATATATTCCAGAATAATTGCTGTGCACCAGAAAGTCCCTACAGATTCAAGGCTGATTAGGCAATGTGTAAGCGTTGGGGATAAACATTGATTATGCAGTGTTATATCTGCCAGTTCTATTTTTTCTTGTGAAGCCACATTTGAAAGTGGGTCCGTCCTTTAAGGCATCAACAGCAATGTATTGTTCAGTGGGTTAAGTGACAGAATTTATAGGGACATGTTTCTTGACCCCGATGTTAGAGTGATCGATTTACAGATACCCTCCTAACAATGATATGGGGCCATCGTTTATACAATTTTTAGTCACCTGTTGACAAGCAAGATGGTCACTAGAAATCAGTGGGGGTATCTATAATATAAATGAATAGCCCCGTATATTTTCGTGGAGAAGAGCAAAATGCCTGGCCATCTTTTCACGTTCAATATTCAAACCCACCAAAGATGAGAGGGTCGCCTCTACTTTTGGTGACGTGTATATCTTTTGATAAGCAAAATGAAAATTATGTTGTTGGCCTTCGAAGTCGATCATGAAAAAAATATTTACATAGGGAATTGGCATCATGTAAATCTCCCTACGCAGTGACCTTGCAGAGGGCGTGAACCCACGCTCGTATCAAAGGCCACCTTTGTCTCTGTGTTTTTTCTTTGCCAACAGCGCCCCGATTCTGCACGTATCAAGGGTTATTCAAAACAACTTGACCTGGATGTGCGCACTATTGAGCACTGGTTTCGGCAGAGACGGAACCAGGAGAAGCCAAGTCTCGTCACCAAATTCAGTGAAAGCTTGTGAGTGGTTATGATGGCTGCCTTATTCATTATTTCGATGTCGGCATAATTTACTCATTTCAAGAAACAGTTATTTAATTAACGTTACAGCAAAGATATGTATGGCTGCATTGTGTATTTATATGATTTTAGAAAATGATTCGTATATGTTCATGTTTTGGTTCTTGTATGGAACTGACAATACTTCTTAAAATGGCTCTCTTCATGCAGGTGGAGGTTCTGTTTTTACTTTGGAATATTCTGTTTTGGTCTTCAGTACCTTTGGAAGGTAAATGCTTTCATAATAATGATATTCATTTAATCATGTGCATGATTTATACGGCTATACTAGCAAATGAGCAATGCATAAAAAAAACACATGACTCGAACAGCGCTAGATGCAGTGATAGATTGCCTCTTGGTTTAGGTGTGTTTCTCGGTCAAAGCATTCTGCCTTCTGTCAATACAAAACAACCTGTTTGACTCGTGCTCTCGAGGGTTGAGCCACCAAAGATCACATCGCAACTGAGGGCAGGGAGGAGAACATTCTCCCAACATTTCTCCTCAATTCAACCCTGGAGGTGGCTAAATAACGGCAGATAAATTAAGAAGGGATCAAAGCAGACTTGGTCAAAATCCAGTGGCACAATGTCTGCAGTGATGTTATGAGCAGTGGATTGACAGAGACAGCATGAAAATATGAATTGTGTTCGATGGCTGTGTCCCAGGTGCACGTGAGATGTGTGCATGGCTTGTATATAGGTGGGTGTGGATGTGTGGATTTTGATATGGATGGGTGAGCATGCGTATATTTTGATGTGATTGTATGCTGTATACCCCCTTAAACCCTTGTCGTTTTGAGAGAAAAAATGGCAATTATTTTTGTGTTGACAAAAACTCAAAACAGCTATAGTATATTAAACAGTGAAAACCAGTACAGCAGTCTTCATGGATGTTTATATTTATTGTTAACAGTACACGTTGATATTTCTGTTTTCTCAGACTCCATGGCTGTGGGACACAAAACACTGTTGGTATAACTACCCTTACCAGGTAAATGTCCAGTCGTCTTCCTTTGACCTTGGTAGACGTTGCTATGGACCCAAGAGGATGACATAACTCTGCGGACTGGAAGAAAGCTTTTACCTCCCCACCAACCGTATTGACCTCTGACCTGAACCTCACTACAACCTATCTTCCAGGGGTCGTAACTTGTTCCAATTCCTCCCCACTTCACCTGCCGGACCCCACTTTTCCAGTTTGCTGATATCTCACTTCACCACATGAGCTTGCTTCCTGATCCTCCCAACATCAAACCAGGATTAGACGAATATTTTGTGTGTCCTACAAAAGTAATTACACTTAAAGTATGGATAACTTCATTCTACTTAACCACTGTATTACGGGCTATTATGACATTTATCACTGGCCAAGTTGTTTTGTCCATGTTTTAAACTATATTATAGTTTGTTGCCGTCGTGGAATGGCTAGCAAACTGAACTTGCTATGCAGAGGTTGCCCGTTCATTCTTTTGGCACCGTTAAAAAAAAAAAAAAAATCTGTCCACTCAGTCGATCCACAGGTCACGTGTGTTGGGGTAAATTGTGGGTATCTCCCTTCTCTTCCAAGATGCCTAGTCTAGTGAGGAAGAGTAGGCCAAATACCCTCTTGACGCTGTCTAGAGCTCCCCCTAGTGGAGGTCCTTTTTCCAATAGTGGCATAAGCAAGAAATGTGCAGGGCTGCACATTACCTCTTTATATGCAATTGTCAGAACACCAAATGGACATTGCAGGAAGGATCGAATAGATGACACAATGACAATGCATGTGTTGTGTTCCTGTGTGTGTAGCCGCTGACTGCAGGGCTGTTCTGGTACTACATCGTCGAGCTTGCCTTTTACTGGTCACTCATGTTCTCCCAGTTTGTGGACATTAAGAGGAAGGTGAGCCCCATCCTAGTTGCGTGTGGATCATGGATTTCTGTTCAAAAGGGTAATGACAATTTAAACCAAATAGTCTTGCAGAAAACTATCGATGGAGCAGTGAGTCAGTGGTTAGTACAATGCACTAATAACCCGGCAGCCCGAGTTCGATTCCTGGTCACCCAACAACCATTCACCAACCCACACTGACCAGAATAGTGCTGGATTGTATAGTCAAACAAGCCCTATGATACATCATTGGAATCGCCCGTAACTTTAAAAACAATTTCACTGGCAAGTTCTTGTTTCCTCATGGACACGGTTTGTACAAATATTAAATATTATTACTTGGGTCTTTCGGTAAAGTCACGTAGAAAGGTTCAAAGGAAATAACAAATAAATAACAAAAAACATACGACGTTTCGATTGCAACACAAGCGTTCGTCATCAGGAAGATCGCAACACAAGCGTTCGTCATCAGGAAGATCGCAACACAAGCGTTCGTCATCAGGAAGATCGCAACACAAGCGTTCGTCATCAGGAAGATCGCAACACAAGCGTTCGTCATCAGGAAGATCGCAACACAAGCGTTCGTCATCGAAACGTCGCATGCTTTTTCGAACTTCGTAGTTTTTTTGTTATTTTCTTTGAACCTACTACCCACGTGACTTTACCGAAAGACCCAAAGAGTATGAATTGAAATTTTAAATGTTTAAAATAATGTTGGATTTTAGGATATTTGAAATATATTCAACCAATATATGCCGAAAGACATTTACCGATGTTCCTGCTCAACGGATACCATACCTGGCAACCCCATACTGTTTATCCATATTCTTGTACAGGGAAATTGCGTTTTCAGGTTCATACGGCGTACAGCCGTTTCAATACGGGCAAATATTTTTTTATGTTTCTCCCTTATGATTGGATTTTGTAGGATGAACGTTGAGATTTATAAGGGCACGGGGTGACCAATTAGGTCTGAAATCGGTCTGCAATAAGGTAGACACTGATAAGGGGTTGACAGGTATGGGATACAAAGGGATGAATGACGTGTTCATGTTCACACTAAAATGTCTATCCCTGGCAGGACTTTGTCATCATGCTGGTGCATCACCTGGCCACCGTGTCGCTCGTGTCCTTCTCCTACGTCACCAACATGGTGCGCGTCGGCACCCTCGTCCTGTGCCTGCACGACGCCGCCGACTTCCTCCTCGAGGTGCCCGATAAGGGGCACCTCTTTGCACCGCGACCAATGTTGAACCGCATGTTGACGGCGTCGTCGGCGGCATTGGTTGAATGAAATGTGTTGTGTGGAATGTTGATCAGGTTTTAGTCCGTGAATTTTATTGAGCGATTCTCTTTTTAGTCTCGCCGGCTAAAGGAGGGGAAACGTGTGTCGACTCTCATTCATTGTTTGGTGCGAGAGGCACACAAATTCACCCTACCTAACCAATGTCATCAGGTCAGCCAAACGTTGAACTCAGTAAATCATTACTACACTGTATATAAAACCCAAGTCATTTTTGGTCTTCGTCAGTGAATTGAGGTATCTCATAATTTATCAGCATCTTCATGTCGTCGAGTTTATTAAGTCGTAATATTCAGTCCTACTCTGTAGTCTTTGGTGGGTAGTCGGTCATTGTCAAATTTGACATGGCGCATTGTCATCAACTAAAATAAAATACACGACTACGTGGACAATATTTTTGTTCCTTATTTCATGAGTAAAATTAACCGATGCTGACATGACCTGGTTGATAATTCACCAGTATTCATGCAATTTTCTCTGCTTGGTGTTACAAATAGTACTATTCTGAAAAGTTGTGTGCATCGATGGGGTATGATCCAGTGGCTTGTGTGCTTCATCATGAAAGACCCCACTGGGTGTGTGCACGCATTACCTAAGTGAAATCACCAGGATAACTAAATGCACAATTGTCCCAAATCATCCTGACCCCAATGTTTGCTTTTTTTCTTCTGCAGACAGCAAAAATGGCCAACTATGCCAAGTTTCAGAAGCTCTGTGATACGATGTTTGCACTCTTTGGACTGGTATTCATCAGCACTCGGTTGGTCTTGTATCCTCTCTGGTAAGTAGTACGTCGATTCAGTTGCCGTATCACCATTAAGCCCATGAGCATAACGAGCGTGGGAATGACGAAACATGAAATGCCAACTTAGAGAAAAACTCTAAATATTATTCGGTTGTGTCCCAGGATGTTCCACACATTTGAATTTATCTAATGAAAACCTAAAAACGGTTAAATCGTGGTTAGGTGCAACATGACACACGTATACATCATTGTAATGATGGCACTAGTGTTATAGTGATGCACTTGCTACAAATTTGTGTGGGACAGTCTGGGACATGTTACCTAGTTTTTAATTAGTTTTGGGTTTTAACTTCCTGTAAAGGCGAGGACACGGCAACAACACTAAAGTACTTCTGAAATGAGTAACAACATCCAACGAAAAAGGCATTGGCCAACTACAAAATGCTTGTTTGCAATCATTTGTGTAATGGTCAGTTATTCCACATTTGTGATTGTAGTATGACCATGTCGTCAATGGGACTGACAAATATCATTAACTGAATAAACGTGCAGTTTTACTTCAGCGACAATATACTGTTTATATTCATTTGACTACGCCTATGGAAATCATATCCATCCGTGACATTTTACATTAACACAGCAAACGGCAAATTGTGGAACTTTGTCCAGGCTTTTATACCATTTAGACAATGTTACTGATAATCAGGTCCAAGAAAGTTAGTCGGAAAAACTGTTTCAACAAAGCAGGTGCATAGAAAATTTACACCTCCACTGGAATTGAAATTGTTTTAACCCTTGGCCAATTGTCCCCCCCTCCCCCACAGGATCTTGAACAGCACCATGTTTGAAAGCTGGGAGATTGTTGGCCCTTACCCATCGTGGTGGGTGTTTAATCCCCTTCTCCTCTTACTACAAGTGCTTCACGCCATCTGGTCCTACCTCATCTTCTGCATTGCCTTCAAGGCATTTGCTAAAGGAAAGGTGTGGCTCCTTACCCGTTTCAAATATATTGGTAATTGACTATTGTTGATGTCTTTTTGAGTCTAAACCAGTCCTCAAAATACTGTGAAGCTTGTCATGTGGAATGGCGAATATTGTACACCAAATTATCCCCTCTACTTCTTAAATCCGACAGGTTTCCAAAGATGAACGCAGCGACGTCGAGAGCAGTTCTGAAGATGAAATAAGTGAACAGGAAGAGCTGTGCAAGAAAGCGCCTTACAATACAAATACCACCAATGGACACTTGAAAAATTAAAAGCTATACCATTTGAACAAAACCCGAGAAAAGATGCAACTTCCACATAACCCCTGCAATATTCTACACTTAAAAATGGTTTAATGGAGTATATATTAATTCGCACTGCACTTCTTTTTAAAGGATGTTCAGATTGGACATCTAAGTTTATATTACCTCGTGCTTTTAACTTTTAATACTCTAGGGTGTTGTCCTTTCTACAATAACATTGTGACAACCAGGGTCAACTTTTATTTATAATTTAGTTTTCATTTTCTGAAGAATTTTACATATCTACAAAATGTACATTTAAAATTGTGTGGAGAAATGGTGCTTGTATTGGAAGCACATTTTAAAGGTATAATATTGCAGACCTGTAAGTTTCAGATGTTGGTCATGGGTTTAAAATATGCCAACTTCGGATATAAATCAACTTTTCATAAAATTTAACCAGCAAAAGATAGCACCTTTTTGCGCGTGTAATTTTGTTGACAGATTGTTCGGAGTGTGATATTCTGAACAGCTCCATTATATATGTGCAAATAACCATTTCAAAACATTTTAACGGAAAACAGGAATCCTATAAAATTGTTAAAATGCCGCACTAATTTCACCCATCCACATGGTAACTATTTTAAAGTCAACTTGTTTCATTTGACATTTAACATCTTAATAATGCATTGTTGTAGGGAACATTTTCCCAAATGTACAACCATGAATAGAAATGTTTCTATTTACGATATAAATTCCATCAGTATATTATTTTAGTATCAGCATGTAATAAGCATGCATTTGAGTTTAGAATGTAATTGAAAGATGCACTCAAGATAACACCACTTCACATTTTGAAAAGCACGAAGGACAAAGTTAAAAACAGATTGACGTCTTTTGAGACCGTGTATCTTATGCAAGATAAATATTGGTTTATTCAGCCAGGCAGGCTTGAGTGGCAACTACACGCCACTTTTGTATGGTAATGTTCAGTCCACCAAAAATGTAGATGTGACCGTGCCAAAATGTAATTGGCATTAAAAACACCATCCTGATGAATGTACTCAGGAGTGTCTTCAGGTAACTGGTCCCAACTTAGAAGTTAATGATCACATGCAACTGTAGAAATACCTGGCTGTGGAAGGTGCGGAATACTAAACGATGTCAGTAGATGTATTTTGCACTTCCCTAAATTCATTTTAAAGTTTCACATTTTTTGTAAAATGTGCTTGTGTGGACAGACGTACAGCCTAACCAGAAGTGAAATGCCTGCAAGATATCCCAATTGAATATTAGAGTACCGATTGCCCATATTTAAGTGGATGGAAGTGATTCAAATTTTGATATGAAACCGATTCAATGAAGGCCTGTTAAATTGCCACATGCATTTTTTACAAGTGGTAAAATATATTAGCCTATAAGCATTGGGATCAAAGGACCACTTTTCATTAGCATTGACTTCCAACAGCTTTGTAACATTTGTTGATCCAAATAAGTTTTATATGAAAATATTCAGGCCAAATTGAAGATTTAATTGCATGCATCTGCTTTGCCAATTCTAATAGCTAAATTTTATTAAAATGGATGTGGGCGAAATATAGCACTCCAGATTCTCATGGTAACACCAAAATATGGAAATACAATTTCAGAGTAACTTAGCCAGAAATTAGTTTAAATCACTTTTTAAAATGTCACCCATTTATATCAATACTTGAAACCCATATGTGAAGCTTCAGTTTTAAAATACAAGGTGGCTCAGAGTTTTGCTTTAGTTCATTACACCTTTTCTAAACACATTGAAACTGACAATATTAAGGGAAGTCAGAATATAAAGTTTGCATTTAGTCAGTGAAATCTTAAGCTCAATTCTGGAATTCTTTATTCAGATGGTTCAAAAAGGTAGTTAAGGATTCTGTGATGGACATTTGGCCAATACTTTATTAAGCATACACATTTGAGTTATGTCACGATGTTGGTCAGCAAAAGTGTAATTTTGCTCAGAAATCGTGGACGAGTCAAATTAATCCAGATTGATCATTTAAATTGGTTGAAACATTACAATAATTATCACCACAAAATTGCAGGTAACTGATGTCACTCATAGTGCAAGTGGAAGTTTTACTGCTGGTAAATAGTTAATGTCACCTAACATGAACAAAAAAACAAAATCTACTCCAGACGTAAGAAATAATTTCAAGGACAATGATTGTTTTTTTCATGGCTTTATATGGCCTGAGAAATGCACTGAGTTCTCCTACACGTTAGTTGACAAGTGAAGTTTTGACTTTTTGCACGTTTTACCAATTTGGGAATTCACAAACTAAAGTTCAAATATTAGTTACAAAGGTCTTTATTAAACGTTTTAAAATGGAAAATAAAGCAGCACATTTGTACGTGGATATTGATCAATGTCCAGAATTTTTATTCATTGGAAAATGTTTATGGCTACCTCCCATACTACCGTCTTAGGATGTATAGTCATTTTAATACACAAACTGCTGCAATGTTGATGTGTAAGATACATTTAAGCATAGATGATAAAAACTTAATCCCTGTGAATTAAACCATGAAAACAAACTAAACCAGCCAGTAAATGGGATGGTTCCTATAAAGCTGCCACATGTCCACTTCACTCCAAGTCGGGAAGTTCTGTTGGAAGAAAGAATATTTGTTACTTGTGTATAAAATGTAAAATTTAAATAATAAAATTTAAAACTAATCATGGGAATTCTCAATTTGACATTCACTGGTCCGACACTGGGGAGATTCGACCATAAGGAAGGCTGTCCTGGTGTAGGCCAATCGGTTTAAAAGGCTGTGCATATATTATCAGAACATTTGTTTGCATGCTTCACCACAAGTTCGTGCGGTGAATGCAGACTTGATTAATTGCAAAAGGTATTTATATGGTGTTTGAAAATCTGAACACCTATTTTATTGCCAGAAAGGGTAAAACCTATTCTTATTTTTCATCATCCTGGGCAGTACTTACTTTCATCATCACTGTCTGTACCTCCATCCTGGAAAAACAAATGCAAGGGTTTTACTTAAAAAAAAAACAATGTTCCCTAAAGACTACCAGCAAGTACAAAGTATTAATATAATTATAACATAAATATCCAGTTCTGTAAAATAAAAGTACAAAATAACTTACGTCATCTTCCATACTATCCATGTCAGGCATTTCATCATCACCTCCCATCTTGTTCATCATCTATAACAGACGAAGACAATACATACATTAATCGAAGGATATCTCCAATATAAATAACGACATTGGGACATATATGTAATTTACAAGTCAAATGAATGTTTGTCATAAGCCTGGTTGCAACTATTCTCATTAGCCACATACCAATAGAATTCTAAATGTTCTTTGTGCCTCAGTGCGGGCACAGCAAATCTTAACATTGCTGTTCTCGCAATAAAAGACTTTAGTTACATGAATCTCAATATACCCATTGTTCACCTCTTGTCTCACATAGCCTTTACAATGGAGCAATTTGAAATACTGTAGTCACATTCTTAACATGTACATAATGCATTTTAAAATAAAAATCAACTACATGTTCAAATATGAATCTAGGTTTTTTTTCATGAGCACACGTGGGGTGATTAATTCAATGTACAAAAACAGGGCACCTGCATGCAATTGATAACTGAGTGCAAATGTTAATGTTCCATTTGTCATTGTTGTGCCAAGTATGGTTTTGTACACAATTTTATTCCAAGTTTGCTCCAAATATAAATGACCTTTCTAAAAATGGTAGTACAAGAATTTAAGTTTAAAAACATACATCAGAGAATTGGTCAAAATTTCCCATTTCTTCATCGGACTCATCCTCCCAATCTTTCCAGTTGTCGAAGTCGACAGACAGCCACTTCAGCTGCAATGACAATATAACACAATTATTAATAACATGCACAAAGAACAGATTACAGCAATATAATCATTAAAGATCCCAAGATCCACCCAAGATCCCAAGGTCTGTTTTACGACGGCAAAAAAATGCTGTTGCTACAGCAGGTGGGGCTCTTGGTGGCTAAAAAAAGATGATAAAATCACCCGTTATGCACTTATAATTTCATCAGATCTCGAAAACGAAATTGGGATGGGCCTGGACAGCACGTGAACTGTTGTAGAGCTCCGCCGTGGGCAATAGGGTAGTGCAGCAAGATCCATTGTTGTGCTATACTTGTATGCTCCCCCACCTTCACCATAGGCTGACCACCGTAAATTATAGATTCTTGAAATTGTACACCCACATGGTTTGATGGATAGATTTCAAGTTGGTACAGCCGATGCAGCTTGTTGAACACGAGCCATGGGGCTGCGTCCAAAGTACAACTTGGAGCAGGAAGTACTGCAGGACGTTGATTCAATGCACATGCCTTACAATAACCAGGCAGAAACGACGCATGAAAGCAATAAAGTAAAGGGATTCGCAAACAAATGTACCTTGCTCTTTTCTTTGGTGAGCCGAGGCCAAGCCACTCCAGACTTGGATTTCTTCATTAAGCAATGTATCGTTCTGTCTGTACGCTTGTGTTTGCAATCCTGGTGTAGCAAAGACGTAATTCAGTTTGAAATAAACAGTACCATTATGCTCGTAATTGCCGCAACGGGTAGACATTATTACGAGAGCGCAGAAATGCACTTACTTCTGGAATGATTTGTTCAAAGAGCTCAGCTTCATTGTGGTATTTTTCTTTATCGCTTCCTCCCACGCAGCTGCAGGATTACAAATTAACATTTCACATACAAATGCCTCCTTCACGCGGTAGTACATTTTTGGACGCAATATATATGCGAGCAAAATGTGCACTGCGCTGTTTTCATTGTGACGAGGTCGACGCCCACCTGAACAAGAGCTTTCCGCTTTCAAATTTTACGGCCACGTCCTTGCTGTCCTCTATGCAAAAATCAAGGAACACGTACTCCTTCCTGTCGTACCATTTCGCAGAGGCGGCGTGTCTGTGACAACACAAAAGGGCATAACAATCAAACGAATATATATGCGCGCGCATAGGCCGCCAACAGCGCGACGACCGCAACAACGCATTGCCAAATATATCGCGTCAAACGCCCGGGTACACAATGGAACCCAACGCACCGAGCACGTGGGCCAGGGCTCGGTCTTTGAGCGAAGAATCCATTTATCTTGACGAGCGGGCGCGAATATTAAAGGTAACTTGCGTGCAAAAGAACGAAGGGGAATGACACAAACGGGGGAATTCTTCAGCGCAGCAGTTGTTCCAGTTACACTGTATTGGAAAACCCTGGAAGGGGCGGCGGCGGCGGCACGCGAGCTCTTCCCGCCCAATCCTCCATAGGGGACGCTGCTGCTCGGCGGCAAGCCCACGGCGGTGGAAGAGGTTTGAATGGAAAGGGGTTGGAAGTCGGGGCGGGGGGGAGCACGGCGGCAATTCGTACGAACGAGGGCGGTGGAAACATCTCCCCACGCAGAACGTCCCCTAAACACCGTCCGGTTTACAAGAGCTGCGGCCGATCCAGCGAACCCGAAAATAACGCGGAAGGAGTCGCTGAGAAGCAATTAGCTGCATTTCTGAGAAACACCAACGTAGAAGCATAAGCACACGCCGCTGAAGCAGCATTATAAGCAGATGAAACAGCAACGGCATTATTCTAAGTAGCCGAAAGAGCGGATGAAGCAACATCATTAAACGTAGTAGCATCACGAGAAGCAAATGAACCGGTATTATTAGCAGTGCCCGAATCCGTAGTTGATACAGCAACACTACCATCTGAACAAACATTATAAGCGGTAGCAGCAGCAGTTTCAATAAGCACATGGCGACCGGCGGCCTAGCGCATATAGTCCCACAGTGACTAAGCCCTCGACGAAGGCCGCCGATGCGAGCGGCAAATAAAGTAACCATCGTAGCGATGATACGGCACTGAAACGTAAACAAAAGCTGTTCATTTGCAAATAGCAATGTAATTATTATTTTAAAAACGGCTAAAATTAGCAAGAGATCGCCTTACGTCGCTCGGTCTCCGGTTCCGTCCATGATGCGCGAGGCGAGGTTTCCAGAACGAGAACCACGTGACCGAGCGCACGACCACGCCCCTCCACTACGGCCACACCCCTCTAGCATACTACCACGCCCCCTCTAGCATACTACCACGCCCCCTCCACCAACGCCCCCCTCCCACGGCCCCGCCTCTCCCACTTACAGGCCCGCCCACTTCGCCGTACGGTCCCACCCCTGCCACCCTAAGGCCGCGCCCCCTCCACCCTACAGCCCCGCCCCATTCCTCACACCTTCCTCAACGCGCGCAACGAATAAAGGGGGGGCGGACTCCCCCGTCCGATCGGTCGACGGGTGCAGTGACGCCTGATGGCAGCTTTCCATTGGCTGAGCGACTGGTCCGCCCCAGATTACAGCCAATGGGAAAGCCCCGTGAGTTGGTTGCTTGGACACGACACGAAGGGGCGTGTTGAGGTGACAAGGAGACGAGTTCGTGGTGGGGGGGGGGGTGTTTGCTGCCGGGTGGATTGGTAACGTCATACGTAGGTGGGTGACGTCAAACGGCAAGTTTCACATTGAGCGACGTCATCGTGGGGCCTTATGCTTACCTCGCCCCTACTGGGGCATGTGAAAAAGAGCTTCACAGCTCATCAGATTATCCAGGATAAACTCATTCTTAAATATTCTGATATTCGGAGATTAATGACTGGGTCGTGATTGCTTATCGTAACATATTAGTGGATATAGCGGCCTCTCGTGGCTGGAAGAATCATGTGAGCCAATTACGAAAATAACGTTAATTATATTCTGATCGATGAAAATGCAGCCGCCAAGCGCCTACTTGTGAGCAACGTCAGGGCCAGGTTCAAATGTGATATTGATACAGAACAAAGGGAGCAGGGATCAATGGTCAAGGGGAAAAGTAAAAAAAAGGGAAAATATACGGTTTTTATTAAATTAACAGTACAGTCCAAACGATTGAAGTTAAATACTGCTAGACATAGTAATTTGGTGTTGCAAAGTAATTTCTGCTCTAAACCACGCCAGTGTAACACAACCAATTCCCCAATACATGGGGTTACAGTTACATCTAATCTAATCCTGACCAGAACGCTCCAGTCATCTCTAACAACATAGCATTAACCACAACCCGGGGTTAATTGTAACCTCATGAGGTCAACTCTGACCCGTATGGTCGGGTAGACGTTAACTTTAACCTTGAGACAATTGCACCTTCAAATAAACTCGTTAAAAAACGTTTTTTTTTAAACAACGGTTTTATTAACTTCGTTTAATTCACGGTCGAGAAGTCCGTCAATGTCGCCTGAGACACGTGGCGTCTGCGTTTTGTGCGAGCCGATTCCACAGCGTTTTTGACCTACACAAATATATAAATACAAAATGTAAATTGTTTTAAAGTGGTGAATTAATTGATGCCGATTTTGACACAGGCATGCATTGTCACCGGATCTGAGTACGTGTGCAAAATGTGGAATTGATTGGATAACGGGAAGTGGACGAAATTTTTATTACAAAATTTGACCCAGGGGCCGTCCATAAATGACGTCACGCACCTGGGGGAGGGGGTCAGGCATTTGTGACAATGTGTGACTTTAGCACCCTGCTGATCCAACACTTTAGCACAGCTATTTCAATGCTAAATTCTCCTGTTTGATATGTAAACTCCTTTGTCAAGGCGCTTTACTTTTCCCACCCAGCTTAAAAGACGCTGCGAATCTTAGCAGCGTTCATTGAAGCGCTGTCGTCCCGACAGTTCTGTTCCTTCACCTGAAGAAGGCTACTTGTGTTGTGGCCGAAACGTCGTGAGAATTTTATCGTCTTATTTTGTTTTATTCTCATTCTACGTGGTGACTTTACCGAAAGAACCAAGAATAGGGGAGGGGGGTTTGAGAAATGTGACGTCATATCAAAATGCGCAACTTTAAATAAATATAGGCAACACGTTTTACTTAAATTTTGATTTAAAGCTTTCGTGACTGCAGTGATTCATATTCTTAGCTCTTACAGTAAAGTCACGTTGAAGTGAAACAATAAAATAATATATATAAAACAATAATTGTTTTTATTGTTTTCTATAATTGTTTTTATTGTTTTATATATATTTTATTATTTTATTGTTTCCCTTCAACGTGACTTTACCGAAAGAGCTAAGAATACGTTTTACTTAATTAAATAGACTTTTAAATAAATGTTTTCTCCTACAACATCAGAGTGCAGCGCCACAATAATTACGCACTACAAAGACAATATTGTAGTTTAAAGCGATTTGAAGCATGTTTTATTTTCTTTGGGGGGGGGGGGGGGCAGAGCGTCTTTGGGGAGGGGGGGGGGGGGTCTGACTCTTTGTGACGCCGTGTGACGAAGGGGGGGGTCAAAATCTTCCAAAATCAAGTTAAATAAAACCGTTGAAAATACATGACTAGTTTGTGAAGTCATATTCTGATAACCATCCTCTGGCACAAGGTGTTTTCTGAGAGTGCCTAATGGGAATGTATTCTCTTCTGACACGAGGCCAATAACGCAATTTAGAAAGCATTTGGGATCAAAATTATCCATAAGTTCGTAATTGAAATAATTAATTGCGTAGGGAGTAATGGTAACCAACACTAACCCGCGTCCTAGTTTAGCATCATCTCTAATATTGAGCAATACCTTGGGCTTACGTGACGATTTGTATTATGATTGTGCTCAGATTTGCTAATCATAACACACAACTGTGTTTTTTGGATCAGTTGAGATTTTTCGGTGGGGGTTACGCGGGGAAAGGTGTGTGACCAGAAATCAATGCTAGGTGGCGCTAGCCAACTCCTTCGTTTTTAAGTGGAAAAACACGTGCGGTTTTCGGGTTACTATATTCGAGTGAGGGCTTGTCTTCTGGCTATAGTAATGTTTATGGTTCACATGGCCTATATGGTGCATATATGACGATAACTGTACTGTGCAAAAAGCTCCACCTCTCCGTATCCAATGTGAGGTACAGATGCTGAGGGCCAAACATTTTCTTTGGCAGGCCACACACACCTCAGGCACTGCAAGGGGCCATTGTGACGGAGTGCCATAACATTAGAAGCACAGTAATGCCAGGTCTAAAATATAGGTTAATTATAAGACCAGGATTGTATGTAGCAATTAAGACTACCCATTATCTAAGTAAAATCTAACATTTGTTGCAAAATATATGTACTGCTTTGCAAGCCTAATTTAAGCATGCTATGTTACTGAAATAAATGTAAACATTTCCGCAAATTTGTCTTAGCATTGTGTGTGTGTGTCATACAGAATGTGCTTGGACGTTTTTCATTTTGCTAAATTGTGGAGTAAATAATTTAACAAATTGAGCTGAACACACTACGGTGTGTGTGGTGCTTTTCGATGCATTTGTTCATGCTGGAATAAACAAACATACGAATGGGGCTCATCACTGTCAGCAGCCCCAGAGGATACATTTCATATGAAGTTTAATTAACTTTCTGTAAATTATGTGAAACTCAGCATACAGAAATGTACGTGCAGGCTGGAATCAAACGAGTAATAATACAGTACAGTACACACAACATGTTATTTATAGACATAAAAAAGCACAACAGTGACCATAGGCTCAGTCCTCCCGTCACACCTTGCACGTCACATGATATAATACAAGCCTTGATTTAAACCACCAAAATTATTTTAATTATGGCCATATTTATTTAGCGAACAGCAGGGTAATTAGACATCTGCACATCATACTCTTTGGTTCTTTCGGTAAATTCACGTAGGTAGAAAAATAAAATAAACAATAATATATCAGGACGATCGCTTGTGTTGCGATCGAAACGTCGTAATATATTATTTTTTTAATTTTATTTTTCTACCTACGTGACTTTACCGAAATAATCAAAGAGTATGGATTCCTGCAGTCACGAAAGCTTTTAAACAAGATCTGCACATCAACTTTATCCTTAAGAATCATCAGCAAAGATATTTCAAATTGTAATTGTGGCCTCCAGCCCCAAGCCTCCAGGAAGATCGGGGCAGCCCTGCATATGTGGAGAGGGGACTGCTGCTGCGGAGATATGCTGGAAGATGGCTTGAGACTTTTGTTCAAGAAGATTGGAACCACCTTTATCAACCCTCAGATGGAAATCGTGGCAAGGGCTTTGTATACAAGCATACGTTTGCGCCTATATTTTGTGTGATGTTAATAACATATAAGGTTTGTTTTTGTTATTGAATATATAATTGCTTTGCGGACTTTTCTGAACATCAGCACACTACACAACCGTAGATCATTGTCAGCTACAATGGACATTTGCTGTGGAAACAAAATGAAGTTAGCAGATGCAAACCTTCAGGCCTAATGAGAACTGACCTATGTAGAAGCAATGCTTCTCAACTTACTCCACAGTTACGTCAAGGTATCAAGTCAAGGCCATTTACACAATTAACTGCAGAAAAGAATAATTCCCAAATCGCATGTGGACATGGCAGTATGAGCAAACTGAGTATACAATGATGATTACAAAGGAATGTGAGCATAACGGCATATTATCTTTTTTACGCCTTGAATTCTAAAAATAAAATACCGTATCATAAACACAATTTATACTTTATTAGTGAATGTCGAGAAGAGGTGCATGTTTAAGCTATAAGCGGATGTATGTCCCTAACGTCATAATAACACTAGTGTATCATCATTATAACACTAGTGTACTTTCATAAATATCATATAACCAGTACCTATAACATCCGAAGTTGACATATGATAATTCACCTATGTTGACTCTATATATGTTTTCAGTTTACAAATTAAAACTAGAATAAACTCATTCATTGGTAAACTTTGTGAATGTCTCAATTTTACGTATTTGACGAGTTTGATTTTCTATTTTATCCATGCTGTGCTCCACTTCCAACAGTTCTTCGACATTTTTCGTTGTGGTGTTTGACTCTTATTCTTCATAAAGAAGCAGGATGTGCCTTGAGACAACGGAGTGGGATATACGTGGTGCAGGAGGCAAGTCGCCCAACACTTTTTGGACATAGATAGGGTTGGAGGAGGGAGGGTGTAGGGGACAAGTCATATGCTGGGTTCCACAATTAATAACCTTCATAGACTCCCGAGCCTACTGAACGTTGGCCCCCGTGGCTCCTTGCCCCTAACTTCAAAATCATTCCCACGCGCCTGCCTTGGGATTTGACGTGTGGGGCAGGGGGGTTGAGGAGCGCAAAGATGGGATGTGACCATTGGGGACCCCGTGAGCCTGGCCGTGGTGGGGGTGGTGGGGGGGTGGGGCAGATGTGGGCCAGAGAGTGGTTTATGTTGGAACAAGCCTGGTGTGGAGGAGATGATGAATGAGATCCTTGTGAGCTCTGCCGTGGATGTGAGATGCGGGACAGGGAGGTTGTAGGAACAGTCACGGGTGTGGCGCCGGTGCACGGTGATAGCGATAGTGGCAGGACCCTCGTGAAGATCCCCGCGTCTCGTACGATCAGTGGGCCCCGTGGTGCCGCGCTACGCACCATGCGTCCCGCAGGGCGCATCCTCCACCTCCTCCACCTCGTCCTCCTCCTCCACCAAGGACTCCGATCCGCCGACGCTGGCGCGGCCGCCGCCGGGTTGGCCCTGCCGTTCGTCTACGAGTCGAGGGCTCGCTGCGAGCCGCCGTGCCGCAACTATGGACTGTGTGTGCGCAACGACACCTGCTTCTGTCTGCACGGATACCAGGGAGAGCGCTGCCAGCACGGTAGCTTACCACCACCTGCACGGGTGGCCACGCATACGCAGGGCGCACACACACACACACCTGCACGGGTGGCCACGCATACGCAGGGCGCACACACACACACACCTGCACGGGTGGCCACGCATACGCAGGGCGCACACACACACACACCTGCACGGGTGGCCACGCATACGCAGGGCGCACACACACACACCTGCAGGGGTAGCCACACCTGCTCTGGGAGTAGTCATCAAAGATCGCCCTCTGTACCTGTACCAGGGGGTGCAACTGCTTCAGGGATGGAGAGGCTCAGGCTCCGAACAACGAGAGGTGGGGGGGGGATTGGACAGCCCCCCCATGTAATTCCTTACACCAGGGTCCATGCCGACCACGAGATACCTCTGCCGTATACCCCACACAGACCGGGCAAGTCCTGTTAGCGATCACCTTGTTCGGCCTTGCGCGACCACACGAGCGGGTGGTTTGGCCATCACCACGCACGGCCACATGTTTCCTCAGTGCTGATGTTTGTACGCAGCACCAAGGAGTTATTTAAGGCCAGGATTCATCCCGCAGGATTGAATCAACTCGCTCCGATTGCTCGGCGTTGCCATGTGGGCGAATCGTTTCGCGCAACCGCAACGTAGAACAAATCAGCGAACGAATGTTGGGGATTCCGCGTTACTATGGCGGGGGCGAGTCTGAACATTTGAGGACTACTAATTTATATACCATAACGTGGGACAGTACTCGTTTTATCGACTCCGGAGGAAGGGTTTGGATTCTCCCCGACTGGAATTGTAAAACTTGTTTTCTCTCGCGGTGCGCTGCAACCGAGCCGGATTATGCCACTCTAGCCTTTTAGTCTCTATACTAGCACAGTATAGCAATGGTTTTTTTTTAAAAAATATATATATACTGGACATCCTAGTGTGTGTACAATAACGTATTTCCGAATTGAAGGACCTGTTGTTCATTTGTTCTTTCACAGCCACGTGCAACCCGCAGTGCAAGCACGGCGGCGAGTGCCTGAGATCTGACAAATGCCGCTGCACTGTGGGATTCGAGGGGCGATTCTGCCAAAAAGGTGCTGCTGCTGCTGCTGCTCCCCCCTTTGGTTATCCTCGCTTCACGCAGTGCATTCATTCCACGTTATCAATTCTCCGGTCCAAAGTAATGTCGACAGCTGTCAGTGGAGAGGTGCAGCGTCGCAACAGTTTCTTCGTGCGCTTTGGAAAGATGTTCCAGGCGTGTGTCTCGTGATGATGACAATGATGATGATGGTGGGCTCCGACGTGCGTTTAGCGCACTAATTAGATGATTACATTCTGATGATACGTAAAATAAATTCACATTTTTTTCCGCGTGTAGATTCGAGAGCTTCTCAGGATGCTGTAGAAGACGACCATATACACATAATCAGTAGACACGAAATAATGACAGAATTAAAACAACAGTTGGCAGATTTGAGAAGCGACGGGACAAGCGCAGCAACCCGCACGCGAACGATGATAAACTGTAGACTGATTAGGTACGTTTATAATCATGTTAAATTGTTATGTAAACAAAGTTTTATTGTGTAAAAAAGTAAACATTTGAGTACTAGAGACATGCGTGCTTCATTAAAAGTGTGCACAATTACGAAACACGTTTAAAAATATATATAATGTACGGTAAAGAGACGGTACACACAGGATTGACAACATATCTTTACCATGTGGAAGTACAGCATTCGTTTTAATAGATACAATGTAGGTGTTTAAGTGATTAAAACAAACTAAATTATCGTCGCGAAAGCCTACATGTTAAACTGATATTTAATGCTATTTCACAAAGATTCCGCTGTTAATTCTCCAACGATAAGCCGGTATAAATATTCTGACTGCCCCGTCTGTCTGCTGTGAAGGGAACGTCAGCGTTAGCCAACTTAATATATTAATCTGTATGAGGAAGTGCAAATGACGACGGTCGTGAGATGTTTCCAAGCCCGTGTACCACCTGTGTACCACCGGACTTGGTGCAGAGTTTTTGTTATATAGTAACCTAAACGACTGCATCCGCGTTTACCTGCTCACTTTTAATTGGCAGGGCCCATTTAGTTCGTTTTAAAAGGTGAAGTCTCCTGACAGGTTATATCGTGTATGAAACGCGTGTCTGTTTGCAGAACGATCAGAAGACTAATGGAGGCATGCCAATATGCAATGCAGTACACACAGCCGTGATATATACATTTTTAAATGACCTTACGAAACGAAACTGAAATTAAAGTTAACTAATATAGAATAATGACTATTCCTCAAGGTGCACATTTTTACTGTTTACATCTTTACCAATGATGAAGTCCCATTCACGGGACACTTAATTAGCATTTTACTTGGTTGAACACAGATGGACTGAAAATATCGGATGGGTGCCATGAGGAGGGACGTTTATAGGGCCTGAGAGCTTACTATCGTGTTACATCACAATTCACGCTCAGACTATAGCCATGCATGCCATTAGGTGCTAAAACATTCTAACGTGTCATGTAATGTGCCTCAGTTTTCATTAGTTTGCGAAAGGTTACCAATATCAACAGCCAATGCATATATTTTGTATATACACCTTATAACAAAACTGTTAATTTCAAGTGAGTATTAACATTTTATTAAAATGTGTAAAACTTTTGCTTAACAATAAAAAAATAATAAGACCACTTGTATCCATATAGAAATTCATCTGTAGGTAAATCACAAAACTGTATTGCCTATATTTTTGGAGAAAAAATAGAGACAAGTTTCATGTACAATATAATCATTTATTATATTATACGTACATCATATCCACTGTTGTGGACTGTTATGATATGTATATATGAATGTTAAGAAATTATATTAAATAATGTCAACACATTTCTTGACTCATGAAACTACAATAAACAACACAAATTTATTTGCTTCTAATAATCAATAACCAGTGGCATGAGAGGGTGTTTTTTTAGGATTTCCCCTCCACTCTAAGTTGTGAGCTCATCTCTCGCCATTTGTGTCTTGCCTTCCAGCGAGCTGCAGTGGGGGCTGCATGAATGGCGGTCAGTGCGTGACGGTACTCGGCGTCTCCAAGTGCTCGTGCCTCTCTGGCTGGGGAGGCGCGCGCTGTCACCAGGGTATACGGCATTCTCCGGATTGCGACAGCCGCTTAACGCGTACTAATGGGTCCTCGGGGCATTGCGTTCGCCTAAGTGGCCTGGGTGGAGTAGTGAGTGGTAAGAGCAGTGTATTTCTGGGTAGCCACCCCAATTGATTAGAACTGGGGTTTCAAGCGAAGTGATTTGATGGTCTCAGTCCAGTCACATCAGTGGTGACAGGGATCATACAAAAAACCAACACGTGAAATTTGGAGGTTTCAAAGTACTTAATTTGGCAAAATTTCAACTCTGTGAAATATAAATTCAGCTTGCCATGCGACCTGAATTTCTCTGAAACGGGACATACATGAAAGTGCAGCTCCTCAAGTGTGGATCACAGGGCATTTGAAGTCGTTCTTGGATATCACCTTCCACAGGCCGTTCTCTAACATGGGGTGAGATACACTGCTCTGCAAGCATTCCCATTGGACACTCCGTCTCATGACATGAATTCAAAAATCACAAATGGAATAAATGTAGAAAAAGGCAAAAACAATTGTTATGTTAACCATAACTTTCAAATATGTACTGTATTACTGTTCTACCTTTGGTGCAGAGGAAAGATATTGATTTGTTAAATGTATCTCCTATGTTCTTTCTTGGCTTTGTTTGCAGCTATGTGTTCACAGGGATGCAGAAACGGAGGTGTGTGTGTGGTGCCAGACATCTGTAGTTGCCTTCCAGGCTGGCATGGAGGAGCCTGCCAGATAGGTGAATCCTTATTTCTTGATGTGGCAGCTAATGCTTGTTATTATGATGGCTATGGGACTGAGATGGTTGCAGAGGTGCACAAAGAGCCTGCGCAGGCCATGTGATTGGTTTACAGGGGTGATGCCCTTGCACCCTATGGCATCATTTTCTCATAACCACCCTTTGTGAACAAAGGCTCGCTATTAGCAATTATAGGTGACTCGTCACAGCATGTCCAATAGCAGTGTAAAGATGCATACATTAATTTATCAAATCGGTACTGACATTCAAAATTAATGCATCTAATCATGTCTGCAAGAAAAGTCAGTGATTTTCCATCATATTTCTTGAATTTTCTTGATGAAATTATCAGGGGAGTTAACCATTAGTGGCATAATGTCTAAGAATAGGCTTCACACAAACATGGATAACAAAGTCATTAAAATGTCAATTATTTTCCACTACAACATATTATTTATTAATTTCTGAAGCTAGCTTATGAACAAATATATACATAAAATAAACTGTTTTCAAATCAACATTGGGCAGTAAAGTTTCAGTATTCCAGTCCATCTAGAGACCAATCAGTTTCAAACACAATGCATATATTATCAGAGCATGTGTGTTTGCATGTTCACCACGAGTACTGTGTGTGATTAATGCAGACATAATTCCTTGCAAAAGGTTTCTATTTGGTGTTTTTGAACATCTTAACATCTCCTGTTTTATTGCCAGAAAGTGTAAAACCTATTATTTTTCATACTCTTGATCTTGTGATATAATACACATAATACCTGCACACAGATTTGATCGCACCATCTTTCGGACACGTTCTGTTACTGGGCTGCTGCTGCTGTCACTACTCTTGACCATATGCCCATTGCTCCTTCTCGGGACGTGTCCAACCCAGGCCCACTTACGTTTCTTTACAGTTTCCATGCCATCTCGAACCATAAGCCACATATAGTTTGCAATTATTAAAGTTTTCATCTTTAGGCACATTTCAATGTTATTTTTCATTGAAAAGTTCAGTGTATGTAATGCTCAACCATGCTTTTTTTGCACACGTCACCAGCCGAGTGCCAGAAGCCATGCCTCAACGGAGGGAAGTGCGTGGCGCCCGACGTCTGCCGCTGCCGTCACTACTACCGAGGTCCCCGCTGTGCGACTCGAGTGATTGCATAATCACTCCACACTGGTGCGCAGATGCTGCCGCCTTAATGTCTTCCCGTGCCAAAAAAAACAGTACACCAGAGCACCATCATCAAACGCCCGAGACTGTGTTTAAAGCCAAGCAATCCAGCCAGGCCCAATATTTGATGACTGTGTACCATGCGCAGGGCTGCCTAGATTTTCCTGGAGGTCCAGGGCAGATTGCCACGTGAAACCTTATTATTCATGAGTCACACACAAAAAAACCAGGCCCGTTGTGGAGCCCTCTTTGGTGTGAGGCCCAGGTAAATGACCCCTTTTATCCCTCCGACCTGTCGGCGACCCTGCCTACGTGCGTCTCCGTAATGATGTTATCGGATATCGGAAGCCAAGCAGGTGTGAGCAGTATGTAGTCAGTTGGGTGACCGCCAAGGTTTGTCAATTGTTGTAGGTGTGGAGTTGCCAGGGCTGGCCAGGGGATAATGGAGTTGAGTGTCGATCCCTGTCCGTATGTGTAGTGGGTTTTTCTTTGGTTACTCGATTTCCTCCCGCACGCCAAACACTGCAGTAATTGAATTGTCCAAACATACCAATGCAGGATTCTCTTGAAAAGGTATTGGGGACTCATGCGAGGCGTTCCTTGGTAAATTAGTATAGGAATTAAAAAAGTTTGTGAAACAAAGTTCGTCATGCACTGCCCATGGAGCTTTACAGTCATAACAACTGAGGTTTATCTTAATAATTGTATTCATGCATGTCTAGTAAATAATAGATGACTAAACTGTACATTGTTCAGGTTTGAATACCATATGTTCATCATAAGAATAACTTAGAAATTAGAAGAGCATTCTAACGTGTCATGTAATGTGCCTCAGTTTTCAATACTTTGCAAAGGGTTACCAATATCAATAGCCAATGCATATATTTTATATAAACCTTAGAACAAAAGTGTTAATTTCGAGTATTAACATTATATTCAAATATGTACAACTTTTGATTAACAATAAAAAAAAATCAACGTAGAAATGTAGATAGAAAATGACTTTTAATAAAGATTTTCAATGATTTACAGTTTTCCAATGTAAAATGTTTTGTAAAACGTGTCGCGTTAACACATTGTATTACATTTGTACCATATACATAGATCTAAACAAATCTCAAGTGTCTGTAATCTGCACCTACGATTAGCATGGTTGGCTACGTACGGTGCGAAAAAAGTTCAACATACATACTGTAATGTGTAGCCAATTGACGCATATTGTGTTTTTATTGCAAGTGAATAAAGCGTATATATTTACATAAACAATTGATTATATCTCAGGCGTTTCAATATCTAACGTACACTATATACCACAGGCCGATAATGAAATATGAGGTTTGGTAATGCGTTTTATGCCATAAATGTTGCGTAGTCCCAAGTGAAGATTTGAAAGTAACCGAAACAAAATCTCTGAAACAAAACACAGTGTGCCCATAAAGTATCGTTCATTATTACAGAATTGTAATTAAACAGCAGTTTGAGCTAAGCCCGTGAAAATACAAAATTTCAAACTTGGTATTGTGAAGATTTAATCGGGTCTCATTCTTCTTAGCTTCCACACGTCTGTCTATGGTGTTGGCGACACGCATGGTATCGAGATTTAAACGAAAATATTTTTTAAACAAAACTATTTTTTATTTGACCAGGTAAGGCCCACTGAACTATATAGCTAATTTTTCGAAGCGACCTGGTCACAAATGATAGCTCACTTTAGTCACTTATCATGTGGAGATGTATAATAGGCAAATACTCTTAAACGCATGTTGATTCTAAATGTGGAGGGAAAAACTGGAGGACCCACATATAAATCCACACGACCACGGGGAGAACACGAAAACTCCAAATATACAGCAGGCGTCAGGGTCGGGATCGAACCCATAACCTTCTGTATACCAGGCGAGGTAGTAAACATCTCGCCGCCGTGGTGCCCCGTGGTGGTCGCCAACATCTCGGCTGTGATTGTTCCGAATGTTGCTGTTATGTGCTGTTGCAGATGACTCAAGGCTTTCGGTTATTTGGCATACACTTTAGCTTAAGTATATAAGAAATATGTTGCCACCATTTGAACAATGCAGTTAAAACTTCTGTGCAATCATAATTATTTCATCGCGTAGAGAGTTAGGGAGACCCTTTATCTTTCCTGGTACAGGCTATTTTAGCGAAGGTGATAAGTGCACACACATGTTCAGTTATGAAAGCAGGTAATGCGTCGCATTGGGAATTAGTTGTGGGAGAACAAGTGGGACGTACGTGAAAAGCATGGCATGGAGCCAGTCATAATGTTCAGTGCAATAACACTTAGATCATTCCAGGAGTTCAACAGCTATAATGAGAAGCAGCTGTGAGCAGTGTAACTGGTTAGATCTGTATTCCCAGTATACCACTTAATGTAAAAAGAGGTTTTGTATGATGGATGATGGTGATGCATTTGATACCACGCAAAGCCAAATTACTGTAAGCTTCTATGGCAGCTTGCCGCTGGTGCAGTGACAGATTAATTATATTTCAGCTGTCAAGTTTTCTGACTGACAATTGTGCACACACGTGGCTATGATAGAAATCGATTTAGAAAAATAAATCCCAATAACAAAACAATAACTACAACAAACCAAAGTGATAAAAAAGCAAAATTTTCTTGAAACAACTTCTAAAACTATTACAAAACCAAATATTTCAAGGAATATCATGATGCCTGTTAATCCTATCAATGCACTACAATACAGAATAAGTGTTTCTCATCTGAAACGGTCATGTTACAATATTATTAGAAAGGCATTGTTTGCGTGGTACGCTTAAATAAATCCTACAAAACTGCAATGCCCCAGAAATGGCCCAATGCTTTTGTGTTGTTTAAAGAAGTGAGCACAGAGGTAGATACGTGACCACAGGTTGTCAGAGTGGAACAGCGAGTGGTTATGTGAACAGTTGAAGTGGCAATTGCATTGTCTACCACTGCTCTATTGTGAAATATAAAATAAATTATACATTTTTGTTTTTTTTGGCCTGTTAAAAAAATCGTATAATAATTTCTGAGCACAAGGACATGTATACAGTGATGCAGCACCAATCAAACAAGCGCATTCAGGTGGAAGCCCACGTCACAGTGGTGTCACGTGGGCACTGTAACAGCGCAGCACTTCGTTTTGCGAGCAGCATTCGTATATATATTTGAAGGATTTCCCAGAAATTCTTCTGCTTGTCAGCTCACCCCAACGTAATCTGGTTAAAACAACGCAAAAGTTGCAATGCATGCAATTTTTCCATCTCAAATGCAAGTGGAATGAAAAATCATAATACTTATTAGACACAATGTGCCAGACATATACACTTACAAAACTAAAGTGAACTAATTGTTGGGATTTAAAAACAATCACTCTCCAGGTTATGCACATCATAGGCTATGTGTCTGTTTACACATTTCACAAAACGTCACAATACCACTTTTAGTTTGACTTCGGAACAATCAACGCTGACGGGGGAATTACTACAATTACACAATACAATTCGGGTTGAATACAGCATCTGAATGCACTCGCATCTCAATACGCCGCATGATGGTGCTTAAAGGATGCATCTGCTGACCTTTCTGTGACAAACCAGGCCTGCAAATCCGGGACGGCACGCACACAAGTTGGGCTGCACACACTTGCTCCCGAACTGGCACTTGGTGTGGCAAGTGGCTATGAAGAGAACACACACACACAGGGTGAAATTCCAGCGAAATAACAGCGGACAGCAGCTTGCACTCCCAAAATAGTCAATCACAATCAGACTTTCTTACGTCGTCTAAATGAGACCACATCTAAAGACACTCCCTACAGAGAGATACAGGTAATGATTCGGTCATGAATGGAAATAGAGGCATAGCGATTGTATCACGGATCTTAGATTTTTTTTCAAAAATATAACAGAACAAAGTGGATAGCATGTTGTTAAATTAATGATAACAAAAGTAAAAGTCACGAATCTATTTGGTTAAAACATTTTACATTACATTCACAAAATACAGCAAATGTGAATGGCAAGCAATTTATAGAAAAGCCAAGAACAAGGACAATGTACTTCTCCTTCTTGGTTTTTGTTTCATTAAAGCAAAATCTGTAGCGGATCGATCTTACACAGAAACATCTGGAAGCTGTGTAGCTAAAGTTTAGAAAGGGTCCCAATTAAGCCAAGCCTTTGGACCTGCGACGTACGGTTTTGGCACTGCGCTCCCTCCCAGCCCGGTGGACATAGGCAGGTATTGGGGCGAATACACTCGCCTCCATTCTTGCATTTCTGTAGACACATTGCTGTGGAGGAACACAAACGAACAATCCAACAGGCTCTCGTAATTCTAACAGGAACGTGACGCAGAAATGAGCTTTACGCAGCTGCATTCTGCGTGGCGTGAAATGTCACAAAGTAAATCGTACAACGTGAACTGTATTGCTGCTGTAAGCAAATATATTTCCCGCACTGATCCTGACCGCAATACAAAAAAAAACATAATCTGCAATGGCAGATGTCAGATGAATTTCTAAAGTAATACCTATTGAGGCTAACGCTGATCAAACATGGTACAAATGAAGACTGTCTCAACTGAAAAAATCCAGAGCTGGGCTGTTCCACTCAGTAAAGAAGACTTTGGAAAATTGCCCTTTTCCTGTACTTGCCTGACCTAGAGTCAAACTCAAGATGCTTTGGAAAGGATGCAGGACCATTTACCACTTCCCCGAGGCTTTCCTAGTTCAGCACTCTAATTTTGTTGTCAAGCACAAAATATAAAACGAATGTGCAAAGTGTGTTACAGCATACATGTGTAGCATTTCATTAATGACACACTGAAAAAGTAAATCTGGCATATTTCTCGATATACGTAAAGAGTTGATACCTCTGAATTTGAGAACTCATTAAAAAACAGGGTTTAGAGTTACGTTTTTGTTGAGTTTATTTTGTTAATTTGATTATACTGCTATTGCATGTTTCTTAGAGTGCAAGCTAAACATCAACAAGGCGGACCAGTAAGACAAACAAGACATGCTTAGTAATTTAAAAGGAGCCCATAACAGATGGTTTTATTATACACATATATAAAGAGTCAACATTCACGAACTTAGATGTTGCCCGACAGGAAACCATATGCACAACCCCCTGGCAAATTTGCCTGCCCTCCCAATGGCCTCCAAAAAACACACTCGCACACTTTTCCCACCCACAGATTTATTCTCGTACCCCAACATTCACTTTGGCTCAAACTCCAACGAGCACATTTCTGCATGTCAAACTCACGTTTGTTACATTTCTTGCCTTTCCAACCGGACGGGCACGAGCAGATGTTGGGCCCCACACATTTCCCTCCGTTGAGACATGTCGGATCACAGACACCTTAACAAGGAAGAGGCACAGCAACTGCGGGCGTCATGGCCAAAAATCATCCTAGTTAACTGTTGCACATATGGCTATATGGAAGGCATGGGTTCATCGGTCGAGCTGATCTTCAACCTCACAAATCTAAGTGTGTGTAAGAATGAATTGGATTTCCAACAAACTGTTTCCAAAAGTCATGTCAGATTAATCATTACATGTCTGCTATGTATTGATTTAACGTAATTCATATAAAGCCGCTACAGGAAGAAAACACTAGACACATGAAGCGTGTAAGGTTTTCTACATGTACTAACTGCCATATACACAGTAAAAACAGTGGTATAGTGGTGATTAGCTTGCATACCCAGCTCACTGAGTCTCATGACTCGTGTTCAGGAGGGTCCTGACAAGTTTTCACAGTGGGGGGGGGGGGGGGGGGGGTAATGATTTACGTGTAAATTCCAATGGAGATATGTGGGTAAATAAAAAAAGTGCCACATTTGGAGCTTGACGGCCGGCACACAATGGCCCACTCTTGTGAACGACACCACAGGATCTTTAACGTCCACTGTGAATCAGACGGCGTGTATTTCCGTGGTAATACAGCCGCAGTATTCGAACCATGAACCTGCTGTGGTTAGCGCGTGGGACTAAGAATCCAGTGAACCGAATTAAATTACTGGCCATGGCTAACATCAGTCATGAGTGATATCTGAATTGATCATTGGGCACCACTCCTCTTTGCCAACCCATACTGCCCAGTGTGGTGAAGCATGGTCAAACATCTCCATGACTGACACTGCACGGAGAGGCCTTCATCCAGCAGTGGATTGAAAGAGGACTCTAGATTATTATATATTTATGGGACCTTTTTTCCAGTATCCAAAATGATGAAAAATAAGAATAGGTTTTACCCTTTCTTATTGCCAGAAAGGGTAAAACCTATTCTTATTTTTCATTATTATATATATGTTGTTAGCTTGTAACTTCTCACTGCTGGGAAAATGCCTCCTTCGTTGTTATGCATGTTTCCATTCTTTCCTCTCCTTAGTTGTTCCTGTCCTTATTATATGTACACACATTAATTACATCCTAATCCTCTCGCATAACACACTTTTATATGTCTACGGAATGCCACAGCCTTTTATGGGAGTGCTTTCCTCTGGCGACACATGAGACATACTGCCGCCGATGATCAAACTGCCCATTTAAAAGCCCTCTAATCAAGCACTACATGATAGTGATACCATAATGATAGTGATATCAAGTTATATCTGAACCAGTCTTGCTTCCCCCCCACACAAACCCCTAGTTAAAGCATAGTTAATTTAGTTTCGTGACCAACACAGAGTGGGAGAGCCCTTCAACCAGCAGCACACTGACAAAGGGGCTATGATTTAAATAAAATAATTCGACTTTTCTAAAGAGACAGAAATTGTATTTATTACGACCATAAATGCAGCACACACACTCTACAGTGTAAATGAGACTAGCATGCAGCAACAGTAACACACGTAGTGCAGACATCTAGTGAGATGAAATAATATAGTTTGTAGAGACGTAGTGAGAAGAGAGAATATTTACAAGAAATAGAGATGTGGTCTTATAAGGGTGTGTGTGAAATTATTAGGTATAAAAGAATTAATTTCTAAACTAGAACTCAGCCATTGCCTTTTATGTGTCCATATGTACCTTTGTATTGCATGTTAACTCTTTGTAAAAAAGAACACCCCAACATATTAATCTGTGAAATAGGATCACACCACGAAATCAAAGATAGGGAATTTCAAACGAGAAGCGTTCATAAAGCGCACCATTATGGCCACAGTCCAAAAGGGACAAAATCCTGCGTGTTAAGTTGTGGGAAAGGAGGTCGGGCCACTCACTCTCCTGGCAGCGCTTGCCCATGTATCCCTCAGGGCAGGAGCACACGTTGTTCCTCATGCAGTGGCCCCCATTCTTGCAGGCCGGGGAGCATATGGCTGTTGCGGTAAAGCGGCATGTTAGCATAGACGGTTCACAGCACACATGACGTGCCACACTATTACCCCCCCAAAGGCTAAATTGAGACTTGGTCGATCGTGACAAATTACTTTTGATTTGTTGGAAAGCAAACGACCTCCATAAAGAGCATTTTTTTTAGTATTTTCAGACAGTATAGCACTTTAAAGCAATTAAGGCACAATAAACAAATATATACAAGGGGAGAGTGGTAGCACAGTGGAGAGTACACTGTGATATGAAACTACCACCCTGAGTTCGATTTTTAGCCACATATAACACTAATGACGAGTGATATTCTGAACTGGTCCTGGGCCTCCCCTTCACCAACCTGCACTGACCAGTGTGGTGAAGTATGGTCAGACACTGCTCACGACTGACATGGCGTGGAAAGGCCTTCATGCAGGAGTGGAGTGCATTGACAAGGGCTGTAAATAATATCATTGTTCTAATTTATTTATTCATAAAATAAATGTGTGCATATGTACGTATGAAGCACCGTGTACCATTCTGGCAGTACGGCCCAAAGAAGCCCTGGGGACAGGCACACACGTGTGGCCGGACGCAGGTTCCTCCGTTAAGGCACACGGGATGGCAGGCCGCTGAGTCACACACACACGCACACACGCAACGCACACGTGGACCTTTCTGTCGCTGCCATCCAAATACATAAACGTCAGTGGGTACAGTGCGTCCAACACATAGTGGTGATTTTGGGGTGCAATCCATTAAAAATGTAAAGTAAAAAAAAAATTGCAGTCCCGAAAAAAATTATAACCACTAAATGAACAGCGGACAAAGCAATATCTGTGCTTTGGTTCTTTCGGTAAAGTCACGTAGAATGAGAATAAAATAATAAATTGATAAAATAAAATAACACAATAATATTCCCAATTATTATTTTATTATTTATTATTTTATTCTCATTCTACGTGACTTTACCGAAAGAACCAAAGAAGATGAATCCTCGCAGTCACGAAAGCTTTAAATCGAAATTTAAAGCAATATCTGCTTTTTGTTTTCTGCATTTCCACGCTGCGTGGAAAAATCACATTCCCAGGCAGTCCCAAATTTGTACTGTAGTGTACAGGCACTCTTCTACTTACGAACGAGTTAGGTTCCAGAGGTCTGTTTGTAAGTCAATTTGCTCAAAAGTCCAACTTTACTCCTATCGATTCCAAACATGGTGTACAGCATGTACACTAAACACGGGGAATGGCTTTGAAAGTTGCATAATCTCCTGTAGAAGTAGATGCTATTGGTTCTTCATGTTCTTCAGATGTAGATGCTAATTCCCTTTTGTGTTCGTGTTTATTCTCGACTCTCTCTAAAAACTCGGTCCGAACAGGCAATTGGACATAAAGACAGATTTGTTCGTATCTCTGGAAATTCGTAAGTAACGCTTGCAGCATTGAGTGTGGTTCCAGAATTGGCTGGTAATACCCCACCTCCGAATTACTCTAGTATTTCTTGGACACACTGTATACGAATTCAGCTATAATTATTTTATTCTCATTAATATTGAATTGACAATTTTGTTTTGTTTCTATTATCTCAACAGATGATTATCACGATGATGAGACCCCACAATGTTAGAACGCCAATTGTACACCACTCAATGTATTTTACACTGCAGAATACGTGCTGAAAATTGGAATGGTAACAATGCTCACAAGTTCAAAGTGTGCAGCTAACAGCTTCTTTTGGACTGCCATGATACCATGTTAAATTGGAATAAAAGTGTGTAGTTCTGTATAATCTGCAGAAGCATTCCTATTCATCAGCAATTGCCAGGTCTCCATAATCACAATCCCCTGCAGTCCGTCTAAATATGTTCATTCCCTGAGTGACGTACCAGGCAGGATAAACTAACATTTCAGTGAACAAATAAACGTAGCAATTATATTATGAGACGTTGATAGTGTTGAATACAGGAATACTCCGTGTGAAATTTGGTTAGCCGTATTCATTTGGGATGGAGACAGAACGAGAGAGATGAGAAACACACAACGTGAGGTAAGGAATCGCGTTTTCAACAAAAATGCCACGATTCGCTGGAATGTAGTTTTACATTTTTCCCACTAGATGGTAGAACAAGACCTTAACACACAAGTATATGCAGACTGAGTTTCTCAATCATAATACTTTTGTTGTTGCCTTTTATTCAATGAGGGTGGAGTGGGGGCTCATTTGCTATGCATCCAGAGAACTGAGTTCGAATCTCGGGTTCTGCTAACATCCGGCAGTAGGTTGAGAAAGGTCTGTAAATTATATTATTTGTCATTAGAATTAGTTTCAGCTTCCCTCCCCCCCCCTAAATATGCTATCAGCATCACGTCAAGAGAAAACATTTCCATTTGAAACTCAACAGCTAGCAGTGCACCACCCAGTGTTGGAGCAATTCCCCCAGAAGAAAGCATCACATTCCTAATTCTGAAGTCACTTGAATAGGTGTATTTGTCCACACTGGGGACAAACCTGCGGCCAACAAAGATTGTTTGTTGCATGTTTAATACAATAATTGTGACAGCTTGAATGTAAGTGAGGATCAAGTTGTAGGGTGATGTTTTTGTGCAGTCATTAGTGACTGGGCCGAGGCCATCGACTCCTTGATCATGAGCATCCTTTTTAATAATGGGCAACTGCCTGGACTTAACCCTAAAATCTTATCAGTGCCAACCTGGTGCTTTGACCCCTAATTCACCCAGCTATGTCCGTTACAGATATGTGTGTATATACATTTATATGACAAAAGGAAAATAAATACTCACCATTGCTGCAGGTGGGTCCATTCCAACCCGCCTTACATTGGCAAACATCCGGAGCGATGCACTCCCCTCCATTCTCACAGTGCCGATTGCACACCACTTAACAGCACATCAGACAAACAACACGACGGCGTATTATGTTTCTGAAGAACTTCAACATTCGTAAAATGTACCCAAACCTGGTACGATTAACTGTGTGCTCACGGAAGTCCGTTTCGTGGCTTACTGGTCTCGCAGCGAGGGCCCACAAACCCGTACGGACACGAGCAGTGGTCTCGGGACGCGCACGTGCCTCCGTGTTCACACGCAGGACTACAGACCGCTGCACAAAAAAAATACTTACTGCACGGTATCTCTAAACATGAAGCTGCGTATAAATTAGAGTCGAAGAGCTCCGAGTCTATGATACCAAACGTGCAAAAGTCCGAGAAGCATTGGTTTACTTATCATCATGGCCACAACTGGAACAACGGCTGAAATATTGAGACTTAAATGAGGGCATTCTGCTGATACACACGTTTAAAAATTAATTTTAACATTACCCAGTGAGTTATAAACGATATGAGTCATTTAGCTTAGTCCCTAAAGGCATTCTACTCTCATTTATGTTGTTTATCTCCAGTCACATGCTTTGAGAAGTGGCGCTTATTTGGTGAGTGAAGAATAATTGAAATTATAAAGGGCTGATTTTTTGAAGCTGGTCAGAACAGGTTTTGCTACTAAAGCACACTGGCCATGCACCAACGCATTGGCTTTTGTCAGTCGGCTTTGACTCAGGGAACCGGTTGCTTTGGATCACTATGCATACAACTTTGGATTCCGGAAAGACTGGTTCAATAGTGGATAAGTAGAATTATGGGATTGATTTAAAGAACCGAACAATTGAAAAAAAGAGAACTGTACCTTCCTCGCAGTTGTGCCCATTATAGCCGGGCAGACATTCACACACGTCTGGCCTCACGCACTTGCCACGGTTGCGGCAGTCGGGCCTGCAGATCGCTGCCAAGCCAAGGGGAAAAAGAGCCTTGAGCAAGTGGAGCCATCGCTGCTTTCTGTGGCTCATAGCTGAATAAGTGGGTAACAGTAAAAAAAAAATGCAGCCCTGTAATTGCGAAGCTCACGCCAGCACTGGCAGGCGTGCCTCCGCTTGACGTATCCCCAAAGAGCACCGCTAAGAGAATGTTTGACCGACTATTCCATGCTGGCTAGATAATTGGAAGAAGGGGCGGTTATCCACACTTTACCACATGCAACCTGACGATCTACTAACTGTGGTTGTACCCATTTATACTGCTGGGTAGAGCAACATGGGGAGGGGTTCGTTAAAAAAAAATAACTTGCACCATCGTTTTAATTGCTGCGCTGTGAGAAGGAGCTGGCGACTTCTGGATTGCAAGTATAGTGTGCCAACCATTATAGCAATAGATGTTGATGGAACTATAAACGCCAAAGTCCACGGATAATAACATCGTGTTGAAGTTTGACTCTCGAGTTGGGAGATTCTTACCGGTGAGACACTTGTATCCGGTGTAGCCAGGTCTACAACGGCACGCATTTGGAGCGGCGCACTCCATGTTCTTACCGCAAGGCATCGAGCAATGCCCTTTTAACAAACCACAGAAAAAAATCGATCACAATCCTGACTTTGCCGAGTTACAGCGTCAACACCACGATTAAATATAAAATAGAATGAACAGATTTTACATAATTTACAAGTGAGCCATTTCCGTTTCACGTCTATCAACTCACCTGTTCCATCCACGTTATTCTGTACGCCGTAAAAAGCAATGGCATCTGTTAGCTGGCGGGGATATGGATCCAGCTCCGGCGTAATGGCAGGGTGGGGAAAGGCACTCTCCGGCGGCAGGGTCATGAAGGGACTGGAGGTGGCCACGCGGGCAGTGAGGGAGGCCCTCGCCTGCAGACGAATGACCGACCGCACCAGCGGCACCCCGACCCTGTGCCGAGGTGAATACCTCTGCGCGGAGGAATACTGAACTCCGAGCCGTCGGCGGGATAGGGGTCGCTCTGGGTTTGGATTCAAGTGCATCCACGGCCCTCCCGAGATTCCCAACGGCGATCGATTGGGGGTTGAGCGCAAATGTACGCTTGATCGTTCCAGCGGCAGACTAAGCCGCGGCTGTTGCAGAGGCCTGGTCACTGGCTGTGAAGTCGGGCGTAACGAATCGGGCTTGTCACTGCCTTGGAAAGTTGTTTGCAGTCGTCCCTGCAGTTGGGGCTCAAGTTTGTCCTGGTCTGGAATTTTGGCCTGGCCTGGAATTTTGGCATTCTGTCCTGAGCCACTTAACCGTGAAAGGAGAGGGGGGACTAGCTGCACAGGGACCTTCACGACTGCCCGTAACAGAGGATTATCAACGATTTTAGGACGATCCGTTACATCAGAGTTCAGATTTTTCATTCGAGTTGGTTGATTTGGTGGATTTTGAACATCAAAAGGCTTAGTGACCTTTTGATCAGCACCCTGCACGGCCTTTAGGCTGGGGGGTGGCAGAAGGGTGGGAATAACAGCAACAGATTTCTCGTGTATGGAATGACTTTGTTTGCTGAGCACATCAGAAAGCGCTGCATAGGAAGGAGTGGTGGGAATAGCTCTGCCCTTCTCGCTGTTTTGAGCAGGAGGTTCAGGCTGCCTCAGGCCTGTGGAAGAAAATAAATGGAGGGGAAAGCCATTGGTTAATATACATTTAAAATTCAATCAATCATTAAATGCATTAAATGTGGAATACATAGGCGAGCATTTAAATAGAAAAGGTTGGGAAATGTGGAGAGGAGGCCCATGTTTTTGGCAAGGAGGACGTGATGAGTGCATTTTAGGAAGCCCTGCTGAAGGACATAAAACATATTCGTTTCTTTCCCAACAGATGGCAGTAGAGGCTTACCGCTCAGCAAAAGCAGTCAGCAGGGGATCTCCTTGATAAATGTTTGAGACCAGCCTGTTAATTCCATCTTAGTTGTTCAAAGAGTGCAATAATTGCTTCAACATATTTTTTGTCGTTCAGTGACAAATCCATAACCAGATGTTGTGTTTTAAATGGTACACGTGTAAGATTGTTGTTAAACACTGGAATTTCATTCAGGGGAGGCAAGTACCCTCTTAATAATAACAATATGTGCTATGGGAAGTTGGAGAAAACGTTACACAAATATGATCTTTATTACATCAACATGGGGACTATTTGTCTGCCAAGAAGCACCCTTACCCACTCGAATGCAAGCAGTAAAAGTTATTCTTTTTAACAGCATACCAACTAACAACTTCATTAAAACTCATAAAATCAAAAGCGTGCTAGTCAAAAGCGTGCTAGTCCCATCTATAACATTTCCTACTTCTAGACACGACATGCGGCAGCAGTACTCTGCAGTGAAATAATAACAAATAAGAATAATATTGACATGTTCACATTTTTGGACTTTTCTGCACATATGGCTCCACTCTGCAAGGTACGGACATATACCGTTTTCAGGGTGCTATGCTGCCCCATCACATGCTAACATACAGAGGTGCAACGATTCACCCCACTCACAATTCAGTGCATCGTCGCAAATCAGGATTTTGACTCGATTCAAGAAAGTATTTCTTCGCATTTTGTTGAATGTAACGGCCTCCAGTGAATGGAGAAGTCACGTGGCCCCATTACGCACAGTATACTGTATATGAACTTGAAAACAATGATCCTCACACATGTGATTCGATGTAAGGATTGTGAGCCGAAAAATAAACGCTTATCGATGCATCGTTAACCTCGTACGAATACGTTATAATATTTAGGCAGGTGTAACCATTAATATTCGTACACTTCATGAGCCAGCAAACAACACGATGGTTGAAGGCACATGAAGATGATGAAACACCAAAAATGCTTGCACAAGTACCAGCCAGCAACAATGGGCTACAGGTTTGGGACTACACAGGGCTTAAATTGTAAAGGGACATTTTCTGGAGCACCCCAACCCTCAATCGCCTGGGCCCCAGCACTGGACAGCAAACCTGTCAACCCCTTATCAGTGCCTATCTTATAAAAAAAATGCAGACCTTACTGGTCACCCCGTGCCCTTATAAATCTCAACGCTCATCCTACAAAGTCCCATCACAAGGGAGAGACACAAACAAATTGACATATTTTTTTTTCCCGTATTGCAACGGCTGCATGCTGGACGGACCTGAAAACTCAATTTCCCTGGACAAGAATACGGGTAAACCGTATGGGTTAACATGTATGGGACAGCTCAGAATGAAATTAATGCTCTGGGACTACACCTCCATGATGGAATGGGGCCATGTTGACCAGCACAATTGACACACCACTGATTTGAGATCAGCTCTGACTTGAAACCCCAAGTCATGCGTATGATAAGGTCTTCCATTATTATAAATTTCAGTCTCTAGCTTGTAGCCTCATATGATCAACGGGTTCTGATGCAAGCAATGATTAGCAAAGCTGCTGTCAGTACGACACATTGATGTTATACAGCGGCATGAATGGGCTGTCACAGGTATGCAATTATGACGCTGACAGCAGCACAATCATTTCTAAGTTGTACACCTTACTGACATGTGTCCTTTGCATATTAAACACGCAAGACTGAATTATCTGCCCATGCTGCGACCCAGTTTATATATCTGCATGAGATTAAAAATATGAATAGAAAATTCATCAATGTATAAATCTCTAAAAAAGGAAATCATAATTTTGAATTCCAAAAATACCCTGTAATATCCCGAGTAGACTTGTGGACACCAAGGCTCACAATGCTTATCTTGTATGAGTACCACTGGATGTTTCGACCAGCTATACAATGGCCTTTCAAGTACCAAACGCTGAGGCTAACTCAACAATTCATTGTTGCTTGTGTACATGTGTTGGCAAGCTGCTCTTACGTGCTTTAGGGTAGGTGCATTTAGAAGTCAAGGCTCAACATTTATTTGGATAACGCATGGCAACTATAGCTTTCAACTCCTCCCAAATTTAGTCTGCATTCACACAAGTCCAAGCACTCTGTCTCTACGTCATTAAACTTCAAAACACGTGAGCCAAAACCCATTACACTCTGAAAATAATAATAATAGTTTGAGAGCTCTTTGTTAATCACCCACTGGATGCAGGCCACCCTACACAATGTAGTCATGGGGGTTGCTTTATCGTTACATCGCCAAACTGGTCATCACACGTTTCCGATGGGGCGCATGGAGAACGGTCCAGATAGCACTCGTCACTGAGGTTAGCCACGGCCGGGAATTACAACTAAGGTGACCAAGATCGGAGTGAAGTGTGCTATCCATTCCGTCACCGTTTCAGCCACAAAAAACATTGCTTTTGGGAGCCATTGTAAAAACCCAGATGGACTCGAAAGCAGATTTACATGTTTAGACAGCTGCTGAGCTGGCACTGAAAGTGGGACGACGCGGATAAACGCATGGGCGTCCCGCCACCCTCACCGTTGCGGGGGCTCCTTGTGCACACACGTCCATTGCCGTGGAAACCCGGGGGACAGCGGCCGCACGAGTACCCAGATTGTGGCGGCCGGCGCTCGAAGCACGCAACACCGGGAAAGCAGGGGCTGCTGCTGCACGGCCCGGGGGGTGAGGCCCTCCCAACCGGCTGACTCCCTGGACTTGGCCTTTCTAGCACAACTGCATCACCTAAACATGACATTGTGTGCATATATAGGTTGAAGCATCATTCTTTCATCCGCGTATGCATTTGTCAAGCATTTCCTCCTGGTTGTATAGTGACGGATGCTGCCGTGGTGTTGAGGTCACCTGGCGCATACGTTGAAACAAAACGGGCCTCTGTGCATCCGGCGGTGTAAATGGGTGTAAATTGGTACTCCACAGTGAGTTGATCAACAAGTCATGTGTGGGGGGGGGGGGGGGGGGGGTAAAGTGTGTGGGTACTTCCGCCTCTTCCAAGACATCCAGCAAGTGTGGAAGTCGGCAAAAGAGCGTTGAGACGAGCTTTCTAGAGCTCCCCTTAGTGCAGGTCCATCTTCCAACAGTGGCATGAGCAGCAAGTGCAAGGATTTTTTCTTAACTCATCAATTTTATTTAACACTTATTTTTCTTATGCTAGTCATTGCGCACGGTTGTATTTTATTTTGCGAGCGGTTGCAGCTCACTTTGCTCAGTTGGTATTGGCCTCTGAGGTCATGACGGTTTTCTTTTTGTATTTCTGTTGCTCCATGCCCCCTGGTACCATTCCCGTTCTGCTGCAATGTGCACTGATGCACTACTTTATTGAGGGCGATATTGGCCACGTAAAAAAATAAAGATTAATTGATCGATTAACATTGTGTTTTGTTTGTTAATACGGATCTGTAGAGAGATTTGGAAATACGCCATGGATGCATTTTTCCTTTCTGGTTCAGGCGGAAACACTCTCTGACCCGCGTCACAATTTATTTGGCAAATAATTTTTTTTCTTCCCCTGGCCACATTTGTTCTTTGTTTGTAAAACGATATCATGATTGCTCTTTAACCGTGTGGAAACCAATGATATCCACTTAAAGATCATTATCGTCCATCAGATTACTCAGGCAATTCATTAAGTTATTATGTTAAGCGGTTTCTGTTCTTAAGCTCAGGCTACATTTACGTGACAAATGTTGGCGCGTGCTCTGCTCTGCCATCGTGGTAAAGTTACGTATGGCTCGGCTGTAGCGGGAAGCCTCCAAGGAAACGCCGCGCGCATGGGCCGTGGCAGCATGGCGACATATGGTTTGCGCGTACCAACAGGGCTGGGACGCCGCTGCTGGGAGCCTGCAGGCAGCGGGGGCCCAGATGATGCCACCGCCGGCGGGAGTGGAGCGTCCTCGGGACCCAAAATTCCACCGTCGTAAGTGCCGGCGGCAACACGGGCAGGTCCTGCGAGCGCTGCTCGATCGATCAAAACGCGCCCGAGCGACGTGGATTTAGGCTGGGTGTGTGTTAACGTGAGCAGAGCGGCTGCCGCTCCGATGATTTCCTGCTTGGGGACGCGTCAAGAGTGGAATTCCCTACAGCCTCCCGGGCGCTCTCGGCAAGACGCACGGCATTTGTTTTTAATCAGCAATGCTAACGTGGCCTTGGAAGTTTAGAGGTTTCAACGGCAGCAAAAACACATCTTGATTTGGTTGACTGAACATAAAAGTCTACGATAGGGTTTAGCATTGACCTGCATTCTTGGAATTTTCTATATATTTTTAAAGAAAGTGTTTTCATGCAGTCATAAAAATATCTACTTTCCGATGAACACATTTTTTTTATAAATATACTTTGGCAGTGGTGGACAAGCACAAATAACAAAAATCTACACATCTATCAACACTCTACTATGAAAAAGGGCCATTTCAGACCAGTGTTAATGATAAATGCGTTGAGTTTGTATGACTACAAGATGAACCGGGTTCCCATAAAAATAAACAGCAAAGTGCTGGGAGCGCAGGCATTTCTTGCAGCCCATCTGTATTTATTCCACCGAGATAAATACATCCCGACCAAAACCTTCACTTTTATGAATTTTTCACATTCGTGGCCAGATTGTGGGAGGGCCTGTGAGGTTGGCTGGTGAGAGGGGGATGGGGTGGGAAGGTGTGGAGGCTCACGCGTGCACGTGGCGCCATCTCCCCGCGCCCACGGTGGGCAGTCCCCGCAGCGGAACGATCCGTACGAGTTGATGCAAACGACTCCAGGGAAGCACGGTGACCGGGTGCACTCATTAACGTCATCCTGGCAGGTGGGACCTGATGAGGGCCGAAGAGGGAGTAGGAGCAAAGGCAACGTGGCGTAATTAGTCTCAAGTGGAGCATGAAGCGTAGGAAAATTAATTAATCGGTATTAGCGCAGTAAGTCACGGCACTCTAAACTATGCCAATTGGTACACGGCTCGATGCAGGAAGAGGGGTTTTATTTTTTTTATTATCATACCCAGTGCTAATTAAGAGGGCCTACACTGGCACGTGAAATATTTAATCACAGTCTGCTTGAGTACAACACTTAGTAAACTCTGTGGAGAGCATTTATAAAGTAATAATCGTTTATGGAGCAGCAGAATTTTGGATGAGATGCATAAAAGTCTTCTAACAGTGGATATCAATGGAAACGTGAGAATGGAGGGGTTTTTTTTCCCCACCGAAAGCGACGCAGTGTGGCATCTAGCGAAAAATATAAATGAAAGCAGTGGGAACCAAATTATTATCAGCTGCTGTAAGTAGTAAACCTGCACCAAACAAAAACGTGCGGGGTGAATACAATTCGAAACGTGTGTCCACAGCATGGGAATCCCTTGGGAGTATATCACCCTTTCAGTATGCGTGCGGACAGACTGCCTCGACCTGTGTACAGCTGTGTGAACGGTCGTGGCTGCAAGGAACAGGGTCTCACAGAGTTTGTTATTGGTGATGGCAGCACAACGCGGACACTTTTCTTCTTCTTCAAACCTGAACTAAGAAAAGGTAGAAGCTGCGGTTTTAAAACGATCCTGAAGCTGACAAATACCTTTAAAGTTATCTTTTGAAATTTCTTAACTCGGGATGGATGTTAACAGAGCGTATGTTAGGAAAACTGCACGAGTAAAACCACAGCTATTTATTTAAATATCATTCGTAACGGAAGAATCTGCTGATAGATTACATCCTCTGTAAGGATGTATGGGCTGTTGAATTTAAATTGTCAAACCCTTACAACAAAACAACTTTTTCGCTAAAATAAATTAAGCCGCTACTTTATCTATCCTAGTTGCTAACAACGCAACCGGGGGGGGGGAGGGGTGACAAAAGTGAAGAGGCAAAATAATGTAACTGAAAACAATAGCTCTCACCGCGATTAGTCCCTAGTGCCATTGAGCAGTAGCAATGCCTGACACCATCCATTGTGGGCGAAGGGTACCCATCAGTCTTGCTCATGTGCAATGCAAAGGAGGCCTTCCCGACTCAAGAGAAAACAACCGCTCAATTGTGTCGCAAGCAATGTTTAGCACGCATGGAGATACGTGTTTACAATGCAGTGGAGTCGTGTTTTTGTTGCAACCTATGTCAAAGGTCATAGGTTGTGCATTACTTATTTTCGATCCTAAGGTACCTGGTTCCTTCCAGTAAAACTGAGCCCTGCGACTGAGAAGCGATGTTAGGCAATTTGAGATGCCGAGGTATTTGAGCGCCCTATCAATGGAAAGGATAAGAAGAAAGTAAACCCACGAACGGGCAAGTTTTCCATCACGTGGATTCGCGGGCATATTGACACCACTTTTCATCTCTTTGTCCACGCTCGTGACGCAGGTCGTTGAGTGGCGGTGGCCGTGTGGGCCGAAGCCTCGTCTCACCACGGTATCCCGGTGGACACACACACGTGTAGTTGTTCGCTCCATCCACGCAGCGCCCGGGGCCGCAGGGAGCCGACAGGCACTCGTCCACGTCGTTCTGGCAACGGGCACCACGGAACCCGGGTAGACAGGAACAGAGGTACTCGCCGCTCCCCGGAGGAAACGCCACGTCCGTCATGCACGTGCCGCTATTGGTGCACTCGCAGGCACGCACCGTCACCTGTGCGCGTATGTGTGCACACACAAAAGACAAAGATCCCCCGTAGAGACATAACAGACTGTTGGGGTAAGTGCTGTTCGCGAGCACCTACGAAGGCCGGCACGGCACGCGACGGTTTGGGTGGCGAGCGCCACGACCGAGTGCCGATGTTTACACACCGCACCAGGTGCTCAATTAAGGCTGAGTCGACCAAGGGAATGCCCAGGACCGGTTCAGATAATCGTTACTGGTGTTGGCCATGAGCGGGGATCGAACTCGGGTGGCCGGGTTGAAAGCGCAGCGCGCTAATCGCTACGCCACCGCTCTCCACACGCAAATGCATGCACACGTGTATGCAAAAACAAAGAAGCAAAACGCCTATGATGAAACTTGTTCTTAAGTGTAGCGAGTTGATGGTCTCAGCTGTGTCACCTATGACTGGATACAAAAGAAATACATTATAATAAATTGGTTTGAATGTCATGCGATGAACGTTATTCTCATACGATAGAGCAGGTGGGAAAGGACTGCCCCTCCACTGTGTGGACCAAGTCCCTTGAAGAGATCTCAAAGGTAGCTCTGTGACATCTGCATCTGTGGGTCATTCTATAATGCAAAGGATTGGACTGCTTTGTCGGAAATGCGGATGGATGCTTTGTCTCGTGACGTGACATCAATCAGGGTTCAATGTATGGAGAAAAACGTTATTTAAAGCCACAGCACACAGTCTCTCATTTACACCCATACTCAAGGATGAACTGTTCCATGATTACATTAGCATCAGCCTGCAAAATGCTATGAATACCGACTTAAACAGTGCACTGCAAACAATGTTTTGAAGTTTGCACATATAATAACAATGAATATAGTTCAATCAATAGCACACAGCACACAACAGCATGCACAATACACGTGAAAAACCAAACACAAAGCCACAATAATGACATTGCGGACATGTAGCAATTATCTTATTAAAATAATCATAAAGTGGAGGTTTTATTTAGAAAATTTGAACACAGCCAAGAAGGCGAAGTATAAACAATAATTTAGCATGATTAGAGAAATATTTTTACGAAATATCGCTGCTCCCCCCCACCCCCACTCCACAAAAACAAAACATTGGAAAAAATCCATCCAGACAAAACAAATAAATTGTAGTCCGTGAAGATAATTTTTTTTTTTATAATGGAGAGCAGTTACTCTCCCAGCTGGACTCCTGAGTGTGTCAGCTCCACACGCACGGTGGTCGAACAAAGCCACGCGAAGTCAAAACGGCCAACGTACGTCTTTACTCATATTACACAACTCATCCCCATTTATCAGCAATGATCAAATCCACTGCTGAATGATGAAGGCCTCTCCAAGCGTGCTGTGACGATACAATGTGACGTTAAATGGAAGAATTAGGCACATTATCCAGCCCAAACTGAGACCATACACCTCACACATTCACTTTACAAAAAGTTTAGCTATACCCTAACCAAGCGTATTCGCTTAACAAAAACTATCCTCTACCACCGACCCTTCCATCTCTTTCTATTCTCCGCAGTAAATTCTCAAACTGTAGCTGAGTTATGCGTGCACACGCCAATAATGAAGGCAGTCAGTGAAATGGAGCTGCTTGTAAGTCAACGTTATTTGCCTTGCCATTTTTGGGGACTGAGGTTAAATCTGCGCTTTTACAAGAAAAATGTAAACTGAGGCGTGCTTTGAATTTGTATGGAATTCAATCCGGCACTACGGTACAGATTCTGCGGGCAGAAGAGCACGAGCGGGGGGGGGGGGACAGCGGGGGTCTGTGATGCGCCGCTCGAGGTTCCATGAGGTAGCGGTTATTACGTTTTGCTTTACATGCGCAGAGGCCTTGGGTTCAGTCCCCAGTGGAAACGCGCGGTATTTTTCTTAGTTTTTCTTTGGCAGGCACGAAGCACGATAAAAATGATTTATTTTTCCAAAAAGAAGTAATAGCTTGGAAAATGTTCTTTTAAGGATAAGCTTTGCTTAAGCATTATATATGTAGCAATGGTTAACATTCATATTAAAAAAATAATCTTATACGTAGGATACAAGGCTTGGTTACGTAGAAGGCCCTGCCATTCCGGAGAGCCACAAACTGCTCGTAGAATTCTGTTTCCTCTAAATGTCAAGTTTGGGCTGGGTGGGGGAATGCAATTTGTGGTTTTATTCCTCTGCAGTTTCTTACACTGGTCACTGTTTTCAGGCCATGATCGCCTACTGCTACCACGACTGCTATTTGCACTTGAGTAGCAAAGGGATCGTAGAGCCCTCCACTCCAGCTGGTCACTCGCAACAGTCGATGCCTCTGGAGAAGAGAGGCCCGTGTTCATCTCAATCCGGCGCAACCATGTGCGATGAGGACGATCACCCAGGTGCCTCCATCTGGGAACAGCGGCTTGGATTAAACCGCTGGAAGGACCACTGTGCGGGACACTTGTCTGGGAAAACAATATATTACGCTCCTAACAAGCTGGCATGCACCAGTCTGTTCAACCTGACCACGAATTAATGGATACTTTTACAAGCCTTTGAAACCTGAACCCCAACTATTTGTTTCCTAGCAGGAGTGAGGGTTTGCTACTCTCTTCCCGGCAGTAATTCTGCCATGGCACAGTGCCCCGCCTCTTAGCTCAGCAGGTAAGCGGCACTGAGCCAGGCAAAAGATTTATGATATTGCTGTGTGAGCACTCACTGGGACTAGCACATGCCCCTGCCAACATCACAGCTTTCATCATGAGCCTACAGACTTGAAATTATACTTTAAATGAATGCATAAAGGAAATAACCTTTTTGTGACTTACATTTCAGAAGAAGTGGATAAGTGCTTGCAAGCAAACATAAAAGACAAATAACCTATTATAGTTATAAAAACCTGGCCACCTTTGTTTCCCCAGAGCTGATGATTACACACCGCACTAGATACTGATGCAAGGCTGAGACAAGCTAGAGGAGGCCAAGGATTGTTTCAGATATTCACTACTGATGTTAGTCATGATCAGGAATTGAACTCAGGATTCTGGGTTTGTAGTACACTATTCTACCACTCCCAACAAAATGCAAGACACACATATACAAAGATCCCCCAATAGATTTCGATTTAAAGCTTTCGTGACTGCAAGGATTAATCTTCTTTGGTTCTTTCGGTAAGGTCACGTAGAATGAGAATAAAATAATAAAATAACACAATAAAATTCTCACGACTTTTCGGCCACAACGCAAGCGGCCGTCTTCAGGTGAAAGGTACAGAACTGCAATGGAGCACTGTCGTCCCGACAGTTCTGTTCTTTCACCTGATGAAGGCTGCTTGTGTTGTGGCCAAAACGTCGTGAGAATTTAATTGTCTTATTTTATTTTATTATTTTATTCTCATTCTACGTGACTTTACCGAAAGAACCAAAGAAGATCCCCCAATAGCCTTATCAGACTGCTATTAGCGAGCACCTATGAAAGCTGGCATGGCACATGAGGGGTGGGTGGCTAGCACCACGCCCGGCCACCTTTGTCTCCCGAGTGGTCATGTTTACACAACACACCAGGTACTCATTTGAGGCTGAGTCAACCTAGGGGAGGCCCAGGATCGTTTCAGCTAACCGTCACTGGTATTGGCCGTGAGCGGGACTTGAACGCGAGTCGCCGGGTTCGTATATTTGATGTTCAATGCAAGCTAGGTCACCTTTGCGAAAAAGACTACATTTACATGTCTGACTTAATGGCTTATTGCTGTCTATGGATGAAAGCAAGGTTGACTTGAAATGTACATTCACCCTCTGTGATTTGAAACCAGTGGCCAGTTGCATAAAATAACTTTAAGTGATATTTTCCTTTAGTTTGCAATGCAAATCAGTGTAAACAGAGGCTCAAATGTACTTGTCCCACTCATCCGATGCCTCGGCCGCCCGTCTCCCACACGGGGATGCCGCCGCGTGCAAAGTGGCACCTGGACGAGGTACTTGCTGTTGGCGTTGCACTCGTCCGCCACGGAGAAGGCAAAGGTGAAGGCCTGGTCGCGACGAGCGGGCGGCACGGTCCAGATGAGTAGCCCGGCCGGAGACAGTGTGGCGCCGTCGGGGCCCGACTCCAGCACGAACAGCACGGCCGAGCCCTCAGGGTCCATGGCCGCCAGCTGGTACACAAAGTTCTCCCCGACGAACGTCTGCAGTCGCTCGCCGGATGCTTGAAACAGCGGCGGCTGGTTGTCTGTCAGAGAGAAAGGGGCCACGAGGGGACATCGGAGGTTTACGCGGCGATCGCCGGGAGAGGTTGCAGGGTTCGCGTGCTTGTACGAGAGAGCGCGTCTTCCGTCGTGTGGTAAGCCCGAGCGCTTTGGGCCACCGTGTGCACTCACTTTCATTGATGGACCAGGTGATTTTGGACACGTCGGGCTTGCACTGAAGGCAGGGGCTGGTGGGGTTCGGGTCTCCCTCGCCATAGCACAGCCCATCGATGTTGCACGTCTTCTCCTGCCAGCGGTTACAACCTCAGCTCGGTTAATAGGGCTTTACCCGGAACTCAGAGCTGGGCCCCATTCACAACAATTCCAGCACTCAATGACCAATGTTCATAACAATCACCAATGATTATAAAAATCATCAATGTTAATGACGACGGTCCAGTGTTGATAGTTCATTGCTGTTGTGCTTAATGTGTGAGCACAATGCAAGGACGAACACTGCCAGTTAAACAGGGCTCTAAAAACCATAAAAATGTATATCTAAAGATACGAAGCATTCGACTGAATTATTTACCAATACCATTTCTGTCTTGTGATGTATTATGCCAGCAACACTGAGCAACAAGCGTCTTCATGAGGACTGTATAACGTATAATTAAGATAACATAAACCCGTCTCGCCTGCATTATATCACACATTACTACTATTTATAAAATACCACAACAAGCGATACTCAAAAGTTCAAAGTTTCATATCAAAATTCCTGAAGGTGAAAACAAATTGTATCTGAGAAAACGTTTACCTTCAACTTACAAAGGCCGTTTGGGCTCCGACTGCAGTTCTGGCAAACACCATCATACAGGGTCAGGATTTTAGCATCGCTGAAGGTGAGCCCATCATTGGCTACCTGCACACACACAAAAAGGTGACCCATATAGTCATATAGACTGCTGGATGCGTACACACACACACGTATCTCCAGGGGTACTCACGCCTGTTCTGGGCACAAAGACAAAGATCCGCCCACATAGCCTTAACAGACTTTGGGGCAAGTGCTGTTAGCGGGCACCTATTAAGGCTGGCAAGGTACAGGGGTTTGGTGGCCAGCACCACACCTGGTCGCCTTTGAATCCCTTTTGGCGATGTTTACACAATGCACCAAATACTAATTTCGGGTCACCATTGGTATCGGGCAGGGTTATATACCTAATCTCAAACCATGGTAAAAATATCGACTAAAGTAATACATCATATTTTTCGATTTAAAGCTTTCGTGACTGCAGGGATTCATCTTCTTGGTTCTTTCGGTAAAGTCACGTAGAATGAGTCTCACGACGTTTCGGCTACAACACAAGTAGCCTTCTTCAGGTGAAGGCTTTACCGAAAGAAGCAAGAAGATTAATCCTTGCAGTCACGAAAGCTTTAAATCGAAATTTAACCACCTCTACGGGGAGGGATTCAACACAACCTTAAGCCTTCACCTGAAGAAGGCTACTTGTGTTGTGGCCGAAACGTCGTGAGACTCACTCTACGTGACTTTACCGAAAGAACCAAGAATATATTTTATTATGTTTTATTTTTATTATGTTATTTCCATTCTACGTGACTTTACCGAAAGAACCAAGAAGATAATACATCATAATTGTATAACCATTAAGTTAAAATGTACTCTGCCATGTTTTCTGAGTTCGTGATGCTGAGGTGATTCTGCGTTGTCATTCCCTTGCTAAAACAACTCGGCAATAGTTCCCTTACAGGCATAACCAATTCGCCTCGCTTGTGATGTGAAGAATTGTTATGTTTTACATTATGGTGAACGAAGCGCCTCAAATGGCTACACGATCGATGTCAATGATCGATTACATACAACATATATCCTTTAAAATTACACATTCTGACATGCAAAATACGACACATGTACCATCGCAGTAAGAATCATCATTGTCATGGATAACAGCGACTATGCAAGGCAATGCAACTGCACCGAGCCCAAGGGCCAGAGGGATCCGGGCGCTGGGCTACAAAAAGGGGGGAAGGCGGACAGACAGGAGGCCCCATTGCATTCCTCGCACCAGGACCCATGCCAAACAAGCTGCTTGTAAAAAATCGATTGCAATTAATGAATAGAAGTTTCAAGTTGCTCTTAAGTCGGGTGCAACCGCAACAAACAAAATATGAATCTACATGGCAGAAAACTATTACACCACAACCAGACCAAAATAAAGCTACAAAAACAATGTAACAACAGTAATCATAGGAACTGTGATTTTAAATTTAATAATAAACGATATACATAACACGTACGACAAAACCTGCAGCCATAGCTGGCAGCACGACACTCCCAGTGTATGATGTGTGAGTGAGTCAGCAGCAGCGTGAGTGAGTGCATGATGTGCGAGTCAGCGTATGATGTGCGAGTCAGTATTAGGTTGAGTGAGTGTATGATGTGTGAGTCAGCGCACGATGTGTTAGTCAGCACATGATGAGTGAGTGAGTGCATGATGTGCGAGTGAGCCAGCACACGATGAGTGAACCTGTGTATGATGAGTGAATGGGTCTGTGGTTGTGCGAGTGTATGATGTGTGAGTGAGTAAGCGCATGATGTGTGAGTCAGTGCATGGTGTGAGTGAGTCAGTGTATGATGTATGAGAAAGTCAGTGTCGGCCCCCTCTACACGCGCCATCGCCCCCCCCCCCCAGCTCCGTCGCCCTCCCCCGATTCTGTCAGCCCCCCCCCGGCTCCATCGGCCCCCCCCCCCCCGGCTCCGTCAGCCCCCCCCCCCAGCTCCGTCGGTCCCCCCCCGGCTCCGTCGACCCCCCCAGCTCCGTTGGCCCCCCCCAGCTCCGTTGGCCCCCCTTTGGCTCCGTCGGCCCCCCCCAGCTCCGTCGGCCCCCCCCCCTGGCTCCGTCGGCCCCCCCCCAGCTCCGTCAGCCCCCCCCCCGGCTCCATCAGCCTCCCACCCGCTCCGTCGGCCCCCCCTCCAGCTCCGTCGGCCCCCCCCCGGCTCCGTCGGCCCCCCCGGCTCCATCGGCTCCCTCCATCGGCTCCCTCGGCCCCCTCACAAATGGCCCCGCCAGCCGCTGCTGGGAGCGCACGCCTCAGGCGGCCATCCTCCGAGTCGATGAAGTACCCCGTGGTGAAAGAGTTCCAGTGCCTCTTAGTTTTCAACCTCGGCGAGCCGAAGTCCTGGCTGATGATGTGCATGTGAATGCGGCTCATGCTGGGGACGGCGTGGTACCCCAGGCGGGACGCTGGCGGCGCCGTCGCCGCGCCCAACGGCTGCACCTTGCGGGACAGCCGCTCGGCCACGTCGTGCACGTCGCGCTGCAGGGGCAGGTGGTCGGCGCGCAGCACGCCCACGTTCGCCACGAACCGCCAGGGCAGCACGGGCCGGTGGTGGCGCGCCTGGGGAAACTTGTCGGGGATCACCACCGCCTGGTCATCGAAAAAGATCTGCGCGCTCGGGTCATCCATGGCATCCCTCAGGCTCTGACTCCAGTGGGCCGGCTGACCCCGCTGGCCGGTCGGACTCTTCTGCGCGTTCCCCTTGGTTGGCGAGACGCTCGGGGAGTTGTCCTTCGCGCGGTCCTTGCCGCCGACGAATTTCAGGAACTTCCTGACGGATCCCGCCTGGCTGTCCGACCCCGACGGGGAGTGCCAGGCGCGCTTGGGAAGATGGGACGGTCGCCCTGGTGGCGACGTGGTCGGGGCCGGGGCCAGGGCCGAGGCGGAGGCCGAAGCGGAGGCCAGGGTGGAGAGGGCGGGGGGGAGGCCGGACCGCGGAACTCGACATGCACCGGGTAGGAGGCGTTGACGACGTGCAGCGTCTGCCCGGGCCGAAGTTCGGCCTCGCCGTGGTGGCCCAGCTCAACCGTCTCGATGCCCGTCGGATTCACGGCCAGCTGTTTAATAGGCACCACTCTTTTGGAGTACATTGCCTGCACTGAAATCTGCTGCCGCGAGCATCTCGTGTCCTTGATCCTGGTGAGTCGACATCTGCCCACGACCACCGTGGTCCCATCGGGAAGGGCAATGGGTTCATGTCGCGAATCGCCACTCACCAGCCAGCAGGTCTGCATGGCACACCTGGGCTCTCCACAAGCGATCAAAAGCTGTTTAAAAAGCTCGCGAGGCAAACCTCTCCCCTCACGATAGGGGGGGGGGGGGTGGCAAACCTCTCCTGCGTACAGAAATTATATCGTGAAACAAACAAATCCTTCACTTTGAATGGTACGCGGTTTAGCGCGGCGGGGCCCGTGACATCAGTGGCGGGGCCGCACGCACACGGATCCAACTCTCCTCATCCTCCACCACCACCACACCTCACCACCACCACACCTCACCACCACATCTCACCACCACACCTCACCACCACCACATCTCACCACCACATCACACCACCACACCTCACCACCACCACACCTCACCACCACCACTACATCTCACCACCACCACACCTCACCACCACCACCACACCTCACCACCACCACCACACCTCACCACCACATCTCACCACCACACCTCACCACCACACCTCACCACCACCATCACATCTCACCACCACCACACCTCACCACCACATCTCACCACCACCACACCTCACCATCACATCTCACCACCACCAGCAGCAGCAGCACCACCACTCATCACATGTACCATGCAGTCGCATTCGACTGCAAGCCCTGCATGTTTCAGACGTATTCTCAAAGCACTCTTTGACCCGCTCAAACTTACTTGCGTGAGGCCATAATCAGTGCAAGGCAGGGAACCAAAGTTTTGTTCAGCTGTATACTACAGGTAACGTCAGTTCATAGGACCTACTGCCACCTAAGGACTACCACTACGAAACAGCTCGTTATCGATATTTATCCGTCACTGCAAGCATGTTAGCCACGCTGATCGAGTACAGTACTAGATGGAAATATTTTCAGCCTGGCAACACCCTGTTGCTAATTTCAGCATGTCTACTCACCGATGCCACTGCATGGGCCCTCTTGCAGTGACATACGTGGCTGAACCGTGTGTGTTGATGTGTGGCCACCAAAGGTATATGAAAGTCCTAATTAGCCCTCAGTAATGAAGATATTCCCCATGCCTGTTGTAAGACGAAGTTGAAAACACCACCAACTTCGAGTAGGTGGGGTAATTTAATACACAATCTTTTGTTACCATTTCAAAGACTAACATTGCGAAATATAATGAAAACCCAGTGAAACGCCATCGTGTGTGAGCATTGGCGTACGTACCCTGACTTGATAGCGAGCAATCGGAGTCTCGCCAATGGACATGTCCATGGGCTCACTGGTCGGTAGCTGACAATCCACGGCACGGCTGCTCAGGAACAAGGCCTTGGTCACTTTTGGCTCCCCCAGTATCCACTCCCCGTCCACGAACTACAACGGATCAAGATCACAATCTCAATAATAGCTTCTCCGTCTTCATCGTAAAGTCAACGTTGAGACCGTGTTAATTCCCAAATATTGGCCATTGCTGGGCTTGCCGAACTCCAGTCCTTAATCAAGATCATGATCTCAGTTATAGCTGAAATCGCGATGCGTCATGTGTGTCCGTATTTACCAATCGTGTCTGGTAAAAAGTAAATTAAGTCGTTACACACTGCACATGCCTGATGATAACTAACAGGTCCCAAGTGATGCTAAGTGTGCTGATTCAAATGAAGATTGCTATATACATAACCATAAGATATGTGCATACACACATTAAAAAATCGGAGCTCTAACTTGAGTTGAATTGATGAACAAATATGGGTTTGAACTGAAAAAAATGGTTAACATGAAAACAATTACTTTGGTACATTGTAATGACTTATTTGAGAAACCATGGGTTATAGTTCAAGTTCACAATATATATTTTAACAATACAACTTACGAGGACTGCACTGGATAAATATGGAATGAACGTGATATGTATTCATAAACACAATAGTGCAGTTACAATAACAAAGTAGTTTATGTTTGCAAATTAGATTTTTATACTTTATGCCCAAAGCATGCCCATTTTATCAGGCATTTTGTAAAGTTCAGATTTATGACTTTGGTACAAGTTGAATGGAGATACAATCTATGCCCGTGTATGGGTGTAAGCAATAGGGTATGGCAAACTCAGGACAGCTACGCTTCATTAATAGAAATTCCATTCTCTCATGCCTTGTGTGCGCTGGGAGCAATTTACAGTCATACTGCTGCTTGGTGTGTTCCAAAATTTATGGCATCAATAAAATCGCATACTCCACAAGGAAAATGAACGTGATTCGGATTATTTCTCCAGGGTCTGCTTTCCGTTATGATTCACATAAAACCAGATGGATAAATGAGATTCATACCTGTGTATTTTTTAGAACTCCCCTAGGCAAATCTTAATTTCCTCTAAAATGTATTAATCAAGACCTCATACATCTGCATACAAGATAAGCGTAAAGCCGGTTCCAAAAATACGACAAGGACCAGCAAAAGCACACGTCATGTGTTTATAGTCCGTGCTGCAGGTCACCCTTCAAATCCTAGCTTTTCTCACAAACCGTCCTGCAAATGATTGTCTGGAATTGGTATAGTCGTCACCGACAAAGCGTGGGTTCCCTAGGGCAGTATGCACACTTACGGATCGTACATGCATACCAGTGTCGTAGCGATGCCTCAAATGCATTAAGCTCATATTGTAGTCGTGAAGTGTGTGGAGTCAGCCAATGATAAAGTATGGTTGTTGTATTGTTTTTTCAATGGCCGTTATGTAAATCAACACAAAGCAGCAGTGTGAAGTACATCATCCTGGCATGTATGTCAAATACCATTAATCCCACAATAACAACTAACATGTGATTGGAACCACGTTTGAGTGCAAAAACATGCAGCAGCAGCAGCAGCAATATTTCACTGAAGGCATAAACCTGTAATAAAAAAACAAACTGAGAAAACAGGTTGTACATTAAAGATGAAAACATTTGGAACAATAATTGTCCTCGCTTTGGTGAATTATGTTCAGGTAGAGATGACGCAGAAAAATAACTAAACACTTGTTTTAGCAAACATTTACTCTATCTGCACTCCTACCAATAATACGGCAACGAACCGGGAGTCAGACACGTGTCCCATTATTTCTGTCAAGAGATTCCATTCGTAACGAACAAACGACGCCAGACGTGCCACGCTAATGACCAAGGAAAACCCAGGTGTACTTGGCCGACGACCGTTGGGTGAAACTTCTTTTCATGACAAAGGCAGTCGAGAGAGAGAGAGTAAAAGGCACAAATCGAAGGGACAAAGGGGGGTTTTATAAAGGTGACAAAACAAGGTCACCAATTAGGCGGGGCAGAGGCGGATCGCAGCACAACGCAGCAGCGGAGCAGAGGCACCGGGCAGCGTCAGGAAAATGGCCGATGATGATGATGATGATTGATGATGATGAATGTTTTTTTGTTTTGCTTTCACTAGGCAAGGCAGTTCACTTCCTGTTTACCATGGAACAATCACCGAGGAGTAATTGTTAGAAACACAATGGCCTGCTGACACGGCCGCTGACCCGCGAGTAATTGCTCGTTTCCTATCTTCGACGTCGTATAATCCTAGCTGGCTGGCTGGCTCTCTCCCTCTCTCCCTCTCTCTCTCTCCCGCCCCCCCCTTGAGGAGAGAGTCCCCGCAGCGGCTGACGAATGCGGCTGACGCTATCTTCGCCACCTCGCCGTGCCACCGGCTAGCTCCGAATGCGCTCTTCATCAAGCCACCGTTGGCAGCGCTGTCGTTATCGGCCCCGTGACTGGCACATTCATTAAGCGCCGTGGCCCGCTACACCACACGGAGGCGCACAGCTCAAACATCAGATAGCGAGGCGGTGTGTAGGGGGGTGGGGGGGTGGAGAGACGGGGTTTTATAATGCCACGTAACCCGGGCAATACATGCAGGGCCAGGTCATTGTAAAGCCTCGTGCGGGGCGAGCGTTGTTGCACGCTCGACATTAACATTTTGTGCCTTTTTCCCGCCGCGGACTATTTCGTGGATTTGTGCAATGCGCTCGTACAATTGGGATTCATGAAGTGTACAGCTGCTTGGGAAATGAAGTGGTCTTGGGCAGGGTTCGTTAGCCAGAGGGGATGGTAAGACGACGACGGTCAACAATGACGACGAAGTGGCAGCCAAGGAATGAAACGTATCCAGAGAGCACATACACAGAGCAGATAAAGCAACGACATCAGGTTGTGTGCAAAGTGATTAGAACATTCCAGGACCACGCGAAATGGCAGTGGCTTGGGAAGGCCTTAAAGCAGCAGTGGATCGACCGAGGCTGATGATGACGATGATGTAGCAAACTAAGTGTGACGGCATCTCAAGACGCCGACGCACAAACAGCGGTCATATTATCTTCTTTGGTTCTTTCGGTAAGGTCACGTAGAATGAGAATAAAATAATAAAATAACACAATAAAATTCTCACGACGTTTCGGCCACAACGCAAGCGGCCGTCTTCAGGTGAAAGGTACAGAACTGTCGGGACGACAGCTTGCGTTGTGGCCGAAACGTCGTGAGAATGTTATTGTGTTATTTTATTATTTTATTCTCATTCTACGTGACTTTACCGAAAGAACCAAAGAAGATGAATCCTTGCAGTCACGAAAGCTTAAAAGCGGTAATTTATTTCGGCAATAAGAGGTTGGTCGGCAATACACCACAGCCTACAGGGGCCCAGAAAGCACATCAGCAAATCGCAGGCTTTACACCCCGGCCGGCGATTTACGTTCCACAACAACGAGCTTCACCGACGTCGTCCCTGGTGGAGGTGGTGGTGGGGGATGTCTTACGGCACGAACGGCGAATTGGTGAAGGGGGGAGTAGCAAGGGATGGTGTGGTGGAACAAGCGTGGCACCTGCAGCTTGGTGGTTTGACACTGGAGGTCGGCCGAGTCGTGGAAGTCCAAGCCGAAGGCGCGCACGGTGTTGCACTCATACACGCGGATATCGCAGAGTCCGCCGTTCTCCAGGTCCGAGAGCTCGGGGGGTTGTGCTACATCGTGTGGGGGGGGGAGGGGGGAAGAGAATACCAAAAAATCATTGCATGTGTGTCACATGACCCAAAAATCACCCGAACTAGATTCCTTATTTTTTTTCGCAATGTTTTACCTGCATAATCCCTTGAGATGGGATATCTATGTACTGGGTGGCATGTGACATGGAAATATCAAAATATATCACGTAGCAGTGGACGTTAAATATCCCGTTATGTCATTCGCAAGAGCGGGCCACTACTGTGTGCCGGTGGCAGGTTCCAAATTTGCCAAATAAAAAAAAAATCACCAGAAAGTGATTCAATTGGAATTTACATCGCGATCAGTGACCCCCTAACTGTGAAAACTTGGCAGGATCCTCCTTGAAAAGAGTCAAGAGACTCAGCCTTTTCTGCGTAAACAAGCGCAATAACAATTTGTAGAGAAAGACATTTCAAATGAGGACAAAGAGACAGACAGCAACAAGGTGTTTTATTTGGTCAGTGGTAAAGTTTCTTTCCTATTGCAGTGGCATATGCCGTAGTATTGTACGTATGTTGAACTGCTTTTGCACCATACGTAGCCAACCGTGATAATCGGAGGTTTTATACTTTTCACAATTAAGAGCAGTGGAACATCGAGAGAATCTGGCTGCAGAAAACGTATCTTGGTCCCCTTTAACTCAGCCTAATTATGTTGATTTCCAAACATCCATTCCCACTCTGTCAGCTTTTGTGGAAAACCTTCTTTCAGACTCTGATTTCGGAGAACAGGGCTATCTCTGAGGTTAAGTGAATTGTGGTTCCAATTATGGAAGTAATTATATGAAAGATTTATCTCCAGATTACCGCACCGTGCAAGTATAACCCCCCCAAAATGCATACAACAGTAAATACTGTCCACATGACGCCCTGCGACTCGAGGCGAAGTGGTCTGGGGGTTTTAAACACACACACACACACGTTTCATAGTCTCACATCGTTTGCAGTTCCATTTACTATCTATTTTCACATACGTATGCTGCACACAGTATTCGCACGTAATACACGTATATTATTTGTGAATTTAACATGTTATTTAACAATGTTTTTAGTAGCTTTATGTATTCATATCCATTGTTTAATAAATATGAGAAAGTAAGTTGTTTGGGTTATAAAGGGTAACTTCAGAATCTATCGGAACGAATGAAGCCTTTAACGTGTATTTCCTATACTCGCTCAACAACCAAATCACTTAACGGCTGGTATCGTGGAAGCGATTACCGTCTTTAAGAGGGGGTGTACAGTACAACAATATACACGACATATGTTATTGGGATAGAGCAGTGTGGCACAGTGGTGAGCACTTAGTGCCATGAACCCCGTGGCTTGGGTTTGATTTCCCAGCCGTGGCTTATATCGGTGGGGAGTGACATCTGAACTCATCACAACATCTCCCCCCTACCACTTCAACAAACCAACACTGACCAGCAGGGTGAAGTATGGTCAACAATCTCCATGACAGAAATGCACGGAGAGACCTTTGTTAAGCAGTGGATTGACAAAATGCTGTAAATTATGTTAAATTATTGTTTATTTGTATTAGAGTGTTGTGTCGTTGAGATTGAGTGCCGATTATAATGCACGTCCATTCAAATGAGTCACATTAAGCAACACCTGGGGTTTTCCTTTCCCTCATATTAACTACAGTGTCACAGAAAATTCAGAGACCACATGCTCCCCCTATCTGTGTGAGATTTGACATCCGTGTGCATTAGTGACATGTCAAAGACCTCACGCTAACACGATAGCTGGTATGTAAACATAGCTCTTCGGTCAATCGGCTTACAACATTTACAATTTTCTGCAAAGTCTCTTTTAACTCAGTAAAAAACCAGGGCCCCCGCTGTAGGCTTTGGTTGCGATTGTTCGATAAAGGCAGGGGATGTGGATTTGAGGCCTCTCTAATAATCCCGTCTGACAGGGAGCCTGGGTTAATCTGCTTCCTGCCCTTCGCTTCAAAGAGTGCACGAGGCATAAACGAACGCATCCGGCTGCAGCACCACCGCCCATCTCACACTCAGCACCGCGCTAGAGTATTCTAAATTGAGCTCTCCTTCGCCACACACATGCCTCGTGAAACAAAAATAATATCGAGTGACTCGCAAAATAATGAAGCCTATTTGTAAGAAAAACAAGTACTTTATTGTCTTCTTCGCAGTGGTAAGTGTGCAGTGGTTCAGTGACAGTAGCATTGCCCTGTAGTTAAGGCTGCCTGTTGGATGAGGGAATGCCTCATGGGCCAGCTAATGGCCCACTGCTGTCACGTTCTGTCAGGTCGGTGAGTTGTGAGCCTAAATGAGTGAAAACAACACCCAACTGCACATCATCCAATTCACACAATAGTATACAAATATGTAAAAGAGCACGATACAGAAATTAGAAATACAGTGAGGGAAACATTTGATCCCCTGCTGATTTTGTACGTTTGCCCACTGACAAAGAAATGATCAGTCTATAATTTTAATGGTAGGTTGATTTTAACAGTGAGAGACAGAATAACAACAAAAAAATCCATAAAAATGCATGTCAAAAATGTTATAATGAGGGAAATAAGTTATAATGAGGGAAATAAGTATTTGACCCCCTCTCAATCAGAAAGATTTCTGGCTCCCAGGTGTCTTTTATACAGGTAACGAGCTGAGATTAGGAGCACACTCTTAAAGGGAGTGCTCCTAATCTCAGCTTGTTACCTGTATAAAAGACACCTGTCCACAGAAGCAATCAATCAATCAGATTCCAAACTCTCCACCATGGCCAAGACCAAAGAGCTCTCCAAGGATGTCAGGGACAAGATTGTAGACCTACACAAGGCTGGAATGGGCTACAAGACCATTGCCAAGCAGCTTGGTGAGAAGGTGACAACAGTTGGTGCGATTATTCGCAAATGGAAGAAACACAAATGAACTGTCAATCTCCCTCGGCATGGGGCTCCATGCAAGATCTCACCTCGTGGAGTTGCAATGATCATGAGAACGGTGAGGAATCAGCCCAGAACTACACGGGAGGGTCTTGTCAATGATCTCAAGGCAGCTGGGACCATAGTCACCAAGAAAACAATTGGTAACACACTACACCGTGAAGGACTGAAATCCTGCAGCGCCCGCAAGGTCCCCCTGCTCAAGAAAGCACATATACATGCCCGTCTGAAGTTTGCCAATTAACATCTGAATGATTCAGAGGACAACTGGGTGAAAGTGTTGTGGTCAGATGAGACCAAAATGGAGCTCTTTGGCATCAACTCAACTCGCCGTGTTTGGAGGAGGAGGAATGCTGCCTATGACCCCAAGAACACCACCCCCACCGTCAAACATGGAGGTGGAAACATTATGCTTTGGGGGTGTTTTTCTGCTAAGGGGACAGGACAACTTCACCACATCAAAGGGACGATGGACGGGGCCATGTACCGTCAAATCTTGGGTGAGAACCTCCTTCCCTCAGCCAGGGCATTGAAAATGGGTCGTGGATGGGTATTCTAGCATGACAATGACCCAAAACACACGGCCAAGGCAACAAAGGAGTGGCTCAAGAAGAAGCACATTAAGGTCCTGGAGTGGCCTAGCCAGTCTCCAGACCTTAATCCCATAGAAAATCTGTGGAGGGAGCTGAAGGTTCGAGTTGCCAAACGTCTGCCTCGAAACCTTAATGACTTGGAGAAGATCTGTAAAGAGGAGTGGGACAAAATCCCTCCTGAGATGTGTGCAAACCTGGTGGCCAACTACAAGAAACGTCTGACCTCTGTGATTGCCAACAAGGGTTTTGCCACCAAGTACTAAGTCATGTTTTGCAGAGGGGTCAAATACTTATTTCCCTCATAATAATGCAAATCAATTTAGAACATTTTTGACATGCGTTTTTCTGGATTTTGTTGTTGTTATTCTGTCTCTCACTGTTCAAATAAACCTACCATTAAAATTATAGACTGATCATTTCTTTGACATTGGGCAAACGTACAAATCAGCAGGGGATCAAATACTTTTTTCCCTCACTGTAGCAACTGACCTTGCAGTGAAATCCACCTAATTTCCCAATGCAGAAACATCCTGCAAAGTATCTGACGACTCAGTGAGGCATTCCTGGGTAAATCAAGGGCGTGATTATTATAATAATTTAAACTTTTACAAAAAGCCAACATCGTAAACTACATATCAGTCGATATTTAACGTACCATTTCGGGAGCCAACTCTCTAACTCAACACGTTTCTTTGGCATCGTAAAAAAAAGTAAAAAGTAAAAAAAAAAACCCCATTTCTTTTACAAGGCCTTGGCCACGGTTACGGAGCGTGCCGGCACGCACTGCTGGACACGCCGCAGTCGTAGTGGCTGAAGCCGACGAGGCACACGCAGCCCCACTCGGTGCAGCGGCCGTTCCCGCTGCACGCAGCCGGGCAGCGCAGGGCCGACGCCACTTCCGTGGGGGGGTGGTCCCCCCGAGGGCCCCACTCGGGTGAGAGCCGCAACTCCAGCGAACGCCGCTCGCACTCGTTCTCCAGGAACGGCAGCACGGCGTCTTCCCACGTGAGGTCGTCTGGTTTTAAGCAACGACAAAATGTTCACGCATATGGCCACTTATTCTTAGCTCTTTATTGTTTCCCTTCAACGTGACTTTACCGAAAGAGCTAAGAATACGAATTACTGCAGTCACGAAAGCTTTAAATCAAAATTCATATTGCCACTTGTTGGAGGATGTCCACATTGAGGAGATGACATCGATTCATGGGCAGATGGGTTATTACATCGCAGGATTGTGATGGATGGCGACGGCTAGAAAAGCATATATAAGCAGAACTCTATTCATATATTTAAAAAAATAAAACAAATTGTCCATCAGCTTATTGGCTTTCGAGACCGAAGTTATCCAGCAATAACATTCACATTATATATATTAAGCAATCAAACTCAATACTAGTTTCAAACTTCTGGGTCTCATCATTAGCAGTCAGGGTTGCTTAAAAAATGTTTTGGGGTTATCAGATGTTATTAGCAAGACCACTCCATCTAAACAATGGGGCCCTGTTCAATGCAAAAGCAATATTGTAGACAAGCTGTATGTGTTGTGGAGCATTATGGGTAACAGCCTATCTAAAAGCTGCAAATATTCTTTTTCAAGTTATTTTTGGCCAGATGGACAATATATATGGGTTGTGTATAGTATTTGGCAAACGTCCAATTTTTTTTATAATGGCCAGCACAGATACTCAAATAATTTGAAACATGCTTCAGCACAAAGAAGCTTTTTGAAACCAATCTTTCATGATGTGTATTCATGCTATCGTACAACTTGGTATGAAAGGACTGCAAATGATCTCAGCTAGGGTTACTTCAGGTCCTCCTAGCTGTCAGTGTCACACAATTCATTGTACAAATGAGCCTACATCAATGGAGGCACAAAAAAAAGTTAAAACACCCGTACACTTCCTTCACAAAACAGTAATGTTTTTTTTATTTGACTATTATTTTAAATGGGTGTATGGAGTGGCCAATGGGGTAGCACCTCTACCCTTGGTTCAGCTGCACCTCCATCCTGTGGGGTAACCGCTTAGGGTTTGATGCAATACTGGCACTCAACTCTTAGTGTGCCTCCAAATATCTGCTTGTGTGCAGTACATCCTGTTGGTGGGCTAAACCAGGTGAAGGTAGCCAGTGGAAGGACTACTACCGGCGACTGGGGCTCATCCTGTCCCTCCGAGCACTACTAGACATACACAATCAGAATCAGCGCACATTATTTATTTGTTAATACACGTAGACTGGAGGTTGTGGGCCCTGCTGGAGGCAGCTCACCCTTGAGACGAAGGTCCGCAATGCACATGTCGACGGCGGCAGAGAGCACGGCAGGTCCCAGCAGCGAGCCACACGCTCGCCCCACACCGGACTTGAGCAGTGCCAAGTGGCACACATCCCGGGCCCGGCTCTGGCTGAGGCCTCCCCGCGGCGTCGGCCAGCGGGGCTCAGCGCGGTCGCTGTCTCGCTCGCTCCCTCCCGCGGGGGCGTGGTCATCGGGAAAGAAGTAGCTGAGGCTCTCCAGGTCGCTTTGGCTCAAGCTCTGGAAGGGGTACGGTGGTGGCAGCTCGTAGTACTGAGGCTGACGCCGTGCGCGGGACGTCCACATCACGTTCCTGCCCCTCGCTGCCCTCGGCCGGTGTTTCCGCAGCCTGTCCGGATGCAAGAACCTGGCGCTCCACCGAGGAATTTTTGTGGAGTCCATTCGGAGTGTCGAACCCTCGGTGCTTAAATTACCATTCGGGACAGGTGTCCTTGGATGTGCAACGAGATCAAAATGGTGACGCTCCGACGTGCTTCCCTCTCTATGCCGTGTGCTTCTCCTCCGTTTCCTGTCATCGAATCGGTCTTGATCGGCCGAGCTGGTGTACTCGCTCGTCACGTCCAGCCCGGGCACAATGCTGGTGCTGTCCACGTCGGCCGAGCCCGAGCAGACACCGGGGCGAGTCATCGCTTCTGAGGGAGAGACGCTTAGGATGTTGGAGCTGCGAGCACTCTTCCCTGCAGACGCATGGCTGCTGCAGTCGCAGTAATCGCGAGGCTTCTCATCTTCCAGCGACACGGCGCTCTTGTCGAACAGACTCTCGCCAGCTGGAATTCTGCAGGATGAGAAACAGGAAATCGGATGGCTCATCATCATTATCATCAACACCATTATGGAGGCACATATTATTTTGGTGAGCAGTTGCTAGGAAATCTTGACAGCCTCAAACTTCACTTAAAATTAGTCAACCGTTTCTCGCTTCACTGCAAACTGTGATAAATCACATTTGAATGTGTGCTCATCTCCTACACAAACCGAATATACGAGATAAGTTCGACCTGCAACTATGGAGTGGAACGAACAGTGACGTGCACAGTCAGTTGCCACCCATCAAGACCATTGAACAGCAGCACCAAAGGCAATTCAGCTGACAGCCAATGCCTTTGAAGGGATACAATCTAAATGTCAATTAAATAAAAATGTTGCTGTTCCAAAATAACAATTGCTTATCTCTGAAACACAACATATAAAATAAAAAAAAATCAAGAGGCCCCTAAAAACACCACACGAAGATACATAATTGTGACGGTAAGTTTATGGATTACATCTATTTCCATTAGGCTTACGATGAGTGAGATGTGCTGCATCATTGAGGACGTTTGAGTTTCTCTCTGCCAGCTAAAGCAGGACGTGTAAGCTGGCAATGCCACGCTGAGTGTGGACGACGATAAACAGGAGAGATCGGACCGCAGTTGTCCAATCGATACTCAAGCTCCTCGTTGTGGGAATCCCGTCTGTATGTATGTACGTTGAACTTCTTTTGCACCGTCCGTAGCCAACCGTGCTAAAATGGCGCTTACGTCATCGACAGACTCCCAGAGGAGGATCACAGCCCTTCTTCTGAAATATTTCCTTGAGAAGTTTAAATAAAGATTGAGACTGGGTTAATTATTTATTATGCCTTCCAGACGTATAATAAACTATCAGAGGGCATTGCTTTGATGTTCATGTACATTAGCATGCTGTGAATTTCTTCAGGCGCTCTGTGCAAATATTTCCACACGTTAAACATCCTGTCTCACAGATATACAGAAGCAGTCCAAGCAATGTTCAGCTTTTTCAACTTGGTGATTTGGCAGTGAATTCTAGCATCCCGAATTATACTGAAGGCTATGCAATTTTTGAGAAACGCTTCACACCTGATGGTCAATTACAGAATTGTTGTTGTGCAGAGGTCACTGGCTGCTTTTGTCACCCAAAGTTCGATAAAAAAAAATATATTGTAGATTAAAGGGTCACGAGAGAACAGTAGGAAATTATTACCGATCACGACGGTGATTTATACTCACCCATGCAGTCTAATAAAACAAACTAAATCTTTTAAATGTATGTTTTTCTTATTGTCAGACAATGTGCTGCACTAAACTTATGAAAATAAAGTCCATCTAAATCCCTATTGTCAATCCACTGCTGGCCGAAAGCACTCTCATGTCGTGGCCAGTTTGGCTTGGTGAAACCAGAAAGCATAGAAGTGGGAACATAGTACAGAATAACAATTGATTTTTCCCTACTGTACTCTGATGCTCTCAACGTAACCCCGCAGTCATCTAGAACAGGCACTATCCAGGTTCAATCCTGCGTAGCTTCCGAGATCTTGGCTCCATCAGACGCATTACAGTTGAATTGGTCATTGCCAAAGAAAAAACATGAAAAACAATGAGCACTGTGCAACAATTGTTTGGACTCAGTGTGGGCTGACAGCGGTTGCGCCCCGGGTACCTCCACTGCTCGATGAAGCTGCGAGGGTGCGATGGCCGTGGCGGTTCGGGGAGCGGTGCTCCCGCAGCGTCGTGGAAGTCGCCGGCCGGGTCCCCATCGAACGTGCCGCACAGGCCCCGCGTGCCGTTGAAGTCGCGGCTGGGCGCCCGCACCATCACACTCATGCCCCAGTCGCTCACGTCGGCGCGCACCAACGCCCCCGAGCGGAACGAGATCTTTCGGCGGGACAGGGGGGGGGGGTGGGTTGGGGTAGCTTCTCAACGGTCGTAGCCACGACTCAAGGCAAAGGTCCACTGAAGCCCATGGGCTCATCGGACTACAGCCGAGCCGTGCGAAGCGAGCACGGTGCTCACCAATAGCTGTAAAATCCAAAGCACTTGAGTCAATAGCAATGCCCTTAAGAGGAGAAAAATATATATAATAGATGAGGTTGTGGTCAATGGCCCTTTTTTATAGCAGGGGCCATTGGTTCTTCTTCATAGTATGGGCCAGAACATTGCTCATCGTCATGTGTTTTCCCTTGAAGTCAGTATTATTAATGAACGTATACTCTTTGGTTCTTTCGGTAAAGTCACGTGGGTATAAAATAAAATAAATCACGACGTTTCGGGCGCAACACAGGCGCCCGTCATCAGGTGTTGGACGCTTTTGTTGCGCCCAAAACGTCGTGATTTATTTGATTTTTCTAACTACGTGGCTTTACCGAAAGAACCAAAGAGTATGGATGCCTGCGGTCACGAAAGCTTCAAATCAAGATATTAATGAACGTGTTGAGTGTTTGTTATTTGCGCACCACTGCCAATGTAGTATCACAAATATTTGTACCAATAACTTTATATCAGATTTAATAAGGCATTTGCGAGCCAAATAAACTAACGTCTCTTATCTTACAAAAAAAAACACATATTGGCTGTGTGCCCGAAGCTGTCCAAATACATGGGTTTCAGACTTCATTAATGAAAAAATAGATTGTAAAATCATAGCCAGGTGTTCTGTCATTGCACCAAAGTGGTGTCATTGATCTATTCAAAAGATAGGGAGGGATATTGCAATGATGTCACGAGAGTGATATAATGGAGCACATACTCATTACTTTTTTTTATCATTAATACAGTTTGTAATTCATATGTGGTAGTCCAAGACACACACCTAGCTAATCATTTTTGTGGTTGATTATTTCTTTAAATATGGACATCCTTAGATAAATTAGAAAAATAACTTTTGAACAGCTGTTGAAAAAAGTCCGCTATTATTTTTTAATAATTAAAATTGTATAATTACGAGGATATAACATCACAACATTTAAGAAACTGGCTCAATGTTTCAACTGGCATTGACTGGAGATCAAATGGAACTGGCAACCTCTGGATTGCAAGTCTAATATGCGTAACACTACACCACCAAGCAGCATCTCAAATTCACCAACTCAAAAAAATGGTCAAAATTGTGGCCACTTTTCATATTTTACACAAACAATTGGTGCAAGCCCAGACCGTGCCGTCGATCGGGCGATGGGAACGCACCGTGACCTTCTTCCCCTGCCGAGCCTCGGCAATGCGGAGGCCGGGAGAGGCAGCGGGGGCGGCGCCCCGCAGCGACAAGTGGGGTCGCGTTTCCAGGTAACTGCCGCTGCACATGTCGAACGTGACGGTGTCACGGCCCTCCCGAGCCGCGACGCCGCACACGCACGCGCCTCCTCCCCCTCCCGTGCTGCCGTCACCCGGCCTTGGCCCACCGCCAACCCGCGAGCCGCACCTCCACTGCCGCACGTGCACCTCGAACTCGCGTCGCGAGCTTCGGTAGAGCACGAACGTGCCCGGCCGCGGGTTCTCGTAACGCCTGCGAGCGCGGTGGGAGGCCATCTCAGTGCCCAACACCGCGGAGCCCGCCCGCAACAGTAGCAGCAGCAGCAGCAGCATTTCAACGGGGTTCTTATGTAGGTGTGTATGTTCGTTGAACGTCATTCGCACCGTACGTAGCCAGCGGTTGCTAATCGTTTTGAGAGATGGAAAAATGTTTGGCGAATTGTATTGTCAATTTAAAATCTGTTTACAATGCACGCTTGCTAACTCATATTATTCCAGATCCAGAATAATTGAATGTAGATTGTAAAATTTGACAATATGAATTAGATGCAATTTAAAGATATGTGGATATGCTTGTGCAGGAAGTAGAGGGAAACCGAAGGTGACATTGAAGGATGTGGTGGAATGAGATGTGAATATGGTGTTTGTGTTGAGAGAAGAGGCACAGAATGGAGGTATACAGAGAAGGGAAATCAGAGCAGCTTACTCCACGCAATAATGGGACTCTTGGCTGAGCAGACAAAGAAGTGATTGCTGTACTTTATAATAAAGTTTTTTTTAGTTCGACCTGCCTACGTGTTATTTACGATACTTAACACGAAAACTTAAAAGCTACGTTACCTGGTGTTAAACAACACACTGGTGACGTTGCGGATGTATCTCTAAAAGTATTGATGTAATCCAGCTTCTTGTGAAACTGCTGAGCAACTGGTTCGACCGTTATTAGACCGTGCGACAATCGCAGGTTGATTAGTTCAACGGTTGATTCGTTAAAATGGTTGATTGATTATTTTAAACGTGCGAGGCAGGCGAGACCACTTGCTGCACTTGCGTGAACCAGGCTTAGTTAAGAGCAGCAAGTCCAGAGGGATGCAAGTGCAATTCAGGGAACCTCATTAAAAAAACATTACAAATTAGAAATTTTAAGCGTGCGTAATTACGTATAGTTATTTCAAACATACTAATGTGCTAAAGGAGCTGTTGAATTGAGATAGGACTGCTGCGTGTCACACTTACATCGCCGTGGCTATGCAAGATCGCGTATGTGTGCCCATAGTGCCTATTAAAATGTCTTAATTTCCTATAGGACAAATCTATAAAATAGGGTACATCTGTGGAACACACTGCTAGAACAAGTCAATGGAAAGAGCTGACCGTTTGGCGAGAAGCAAACTCCACATGAACAAGAGACTGCGACACATGTGGAAAATGTCTGAAAAATTGTACACGGAGAGCATTTTTTCTCTTAACATTAATCGGACTAAAGATGGATTACATTTTATACTTTTGAAATATAAATGCGTTTCCGCTGTATCAAACTACAAAGCACAAGTGAAATGAAATTGACTTCCTGATGCCCTACCTCCCATCAAAAGTGACCACATGGGGGTCCGTGATGGCATAGCAGTGGGCTGTTGGAACATCCTTCACCGTCACCTGCGAATACAAATATTTATTTTGGAATCGTACTGCTTATTATAATCTGCGCGGAATTAGGTACCTGCCATGCTGGCTAAACCATCTTGAGTCCCTTACATCTGAAATCTGCCTTACTCAAATGTTCAATCATGTTCACAGTTCATCACTGCTTATCAGGGCCCTCGTTGATGTTATAAACTTGCAGAGTCTTGAGTGCTGCTTGCAAAATTAGAGGCTCACTGTAAGGCCCACCTGGGTCAATTTTATATCTTTAGTATCGACATGGGAACTGACTGAATATGCCTTACGGGTTATTAAATTAATAGACTAAGTAATTGTTAAATGTATTTTCCGTGGGACTTATTCCCAATTCCATTCCTATTATGCAATCGGCACCGTATCAAAAGTCAAAGTGTCCATTCGGAACTCTTGCAGAGGAGTGCATAACCCCACATCGAGAACCCGCCCGTGGAGGCAGATATCACATAATTAATTCTGAGATAATTTTAAGTGACCACTTTTATCCACACGAGTGGGTGCTGCAATTTCCCACACACACTACAAATAAATAATGGGACTCTTGGCTGAGCATACAAATAAGTGATTGCTGTACTTTATAAGAAGAAGAATTTTGCCAAATCTAATATACTGCAATGTATTTTTGCAGTCATTGGTGACCAGACTGAGACCAACAACTTTACTACATTTGAGAGCCACATTTAATCATGGCTGGATGAAACCTATATGCAAACCCAGGATCTCAGTTGTGCTGGATCCGTGCTTTGACACCTGAGCCACCTGGCCACCTGGTATCTGTATTTCTAACACATTGTAAAACTTGTTTAACATGCCTGACTCTGCAGAATTTGCTGCTTAAACAGTCTGTGGAAAAAAATAAGTCCATAGGTCTCATAGACTAATGGCTTAAGAGACTTTTGTTAGTTTAATAATTTATCAAATTAACCTTATGGCGGTAGCCCCCAGGATACCATAGTACCCCGGCTCTCGCATAATGTCCGTGATGCAATCATTTGTAGTCTGTTGATGGTCGGCGATGTGGCAATCGACTCATCTCGACGAGCTGTACACGATGCACTATTCAAAGTTGCATTTTTCGATAACGGATTTTTTTATGCTAATGTTTGGCGTTTCGACATCGCGGAGTGTGGCACTGATTTCAGATTGATTGGTACCCCAGTCGCGGAGTGAAGTACACCCCTGGAAAAAAAATAGTGTCCCAGAAATCAAATATTTAATTGCCTCGGCCATTTAGTATTATTTGGTATCCCAGGGTACCGCCATGAGGATCAAATGAAATCACAAGTTTTCCAAAAACTCGACTTAAACACAACGCACTGTGACAGGCCGGGGCTTGTACGAATCCCAGAGAGGGCTCCCAGAATGCTTGGGAAGAATGTGGACCAGGGCCACGCGATTCCCGTCCCTGGCAAAATCCGTCACGGCCTTGAGGTGCACGCGTGCGCTTGCATGGTGGCGCAGCATGCAGGCCAGCCCGTCCGGGCACAGCGCTGGGGCCAACTCCACCTCGCAGCTGGAGAGAGCCACCTCAACGGGCATCTGGTCCAGTGGGTCTAGGACCATGGCGGGTCAGGGCCAATTGGGGACAAGGGATGTGAGACAAGCGGAAAAAAGAGGTCATCATTGGTCACTAATAAACCAATTTTCACATCCATAATGGTCAGCACAAGCACGTCCATGGCACAGATACCTTTGATAAAAGAAAAAAAAACAGTCTGCATAACTACCAATAGCAATACTCAACATGACTTGTTAGACAGGCAGGTAATTTACTAATTAATTGTTTCAGATCCCACAAAAGAGCCTCGTGTATGGACCGTGGGGGGGGGGGTGGGGGGGTACTAACTCAGATTCGGTACCCTGGTTTTCGGTGACGAGGCGGAGACCGATTCGGCAGGAGGGATGCGGCCCGAGGTGCAGTGAGCACGGCAGTGGGACGGTGCTCTCCACGTGCAGCTCGTGCTCTGCCCCATCCTCCGCCAGCTCCAGGCTGCTCGGGCTCATCTATTCAAGCCCGGATTGAGTAGAGAACAAACCCTCCGTTGTGGGCTCGTATTTCGTGGCGATAGAGTAACTTCGATTGGTGGCTTTGGGTGGGGTCTTGCACCAAAAATATATGCACTGATGTTATTTTCTCAGTAAATACAAGTAGCTATGATGTGAGAGTTGCCAACCATCAGCATAGCCCAGCTATAGCTGACATACCTTTATCCCAGCAAAGAAGCCCTCACTGACAGAAGGTGAGCCCTGGGTTTCTGGAAAGTCCAGGTAGAATGTCGTTACCCCACAGAAAATCTGCACGGAAGGAACAGAGAAAACAGATGAAGTCAAAATATAATTTGGTGGGGCGGCAAAAGAAAAAAAGAAAAACGTACAATGCTACTGAAAACATGAAAGTGTTTTCCCAAGCCCGGTGCGAATCAACCAAACCCCGGTGCTTTACCGTGTCGCCCAGTACGACGTTGACTCCATCCACCTCGAGGAAGGAGAAGGTCTGCATGCTCGTCTCGCGCTTCACCTCCTCCCGCTGCCCCGAGTGGGAGAGCCGCACCCACGACACGCCGTAGCCCAGGGTGGCGTTCCCCGTCGGTCGCTGGTAGGAGCACCGGAGGTGCAGCGCTCCGTCGGAGCCTCGCTCCGCCGACACGACGGGCGGCGACGGCAGGGTGGGAAGCGTGGCTGTGCAGTTACAAAGGAAGCTATGAACACGTCTTTGTGTGGTCACAATAGCGACGGTAGAGGCAACCACCAGGAGCACAGCATTGAAACCACAGCTGTGATCGTGAACCATACTTACATGGAGTAATTGGTGTTTAACAACCGCAGTTGTTCACATTCATGAACGACAACAGACACTGAAAGGAAAAGATAAAGGTACACGTACGGACCTGCAAATACATGCTCAGGCAACTTCCTGCTGAAGGGCCTTTTTTAGAGGGAAAATCTAGAGAACCCCTCCGGAGTGTATTTTGGCCTACTCTTCCATAGTGGCTGGATGTCTTGAAAGAGGTGGGAGTACCCACACGTCACCCCATAACGGACGACCTGCTGATTGGCTCACAGTAGAGGGGGGATGTAAGAAACTCACCCATTGTCTCAAACTTCCATGCAGGAAGATCGAACCTGTGACCCAACCATTACACGAAGGCAGCAAAAGAGGTGTTTTGTATTCGTGAGACTATGGGACATGAACATAGGGTGTTCTATGGAAGTTTTCTTAAGAGCATCACTTTAAAAAAGCATATTCTTAATTAAAATTAGTTTACATTCTGTTCCAAAGTAATTTTAGTTTTTCATCAATGAACGGGTAAATATATATTATTACAGTATTATGCACGGCTGTAATCATTCATTCCTCTTACCTCGCGAATTGTTAATTCAAATTCGATTCAAAGAACCATTGTTTTTATGAACACTGTGGTGCATCTTCTTGGTTCTTTCGGTAAAGTCACGTAGAATGGAAATACAATAATAAAAATAAAACATAATAAAATAAAATTCTCACGACGTTTCGGCCACAACACAAGTAGCCTACTTCAGGTGAAGGAACATAACTGTCGGGACGACAGCGCTTCAATGAACACTGCAGAGCTTCGCAGCGTCTTTTAAGCTAGGTGAGAGAAGTAAAGCACCTTGACAAAGGAGTTTACATATCAAACAGGAGAATTTAGCATTGAAATAGCTATGTTAAAGTGTTGGATCAGCAAGGTGTTAAAGTCAGAAATTAGCATGTAACTGGGAGATTAGCATGATGTTAATGTGAGGGATTGGCATGTGACTGGTCACGGAAATAGCTATGTTAAAGTCAAATTGTACAAATCAACAGAGGCATTTAGTATGTGGACGCTAAAGGACTGCAACTATCCAACTATCATACAATAAACTGATGTGAAAAAAACTAAGTATAAACTACATCAATATAATAAATGTACTCAATATGTTCTTCAATAAGTTGAGCTATTAACATAAAATAACTGGGTATACACTACACTATATAATGAATACCATATAGTAAACTATAAAAAACTAAAATATAAACTACATCAATGTTATCAATAAACTCTATATACTCTCCAATCAGCTGAGCTACTAACAATTAGTCGTTATACATTACAATGCCATATGGCGAAAAAATGGGTGGCGGTTTTTTCTTTTCAACGTCAGCGCCACGGAAAGCGACGAGCTTTGTTCAGAAGGACGAGTCCATCTGTGCTCGGAACGGAGGAGGGGGGAGAAACAGCCAAGATGCTCTGCTCTGTCCTGTGTTGCGTTACAACTATGCCATAAACTAGATTACTATACATTGTAATGTTATACCTTCCAATCTAAACTACATTGTATAATATCGTATACACAGCCCAATGTAAGCTCTAACATTATGCATTACATTGATATGTCTCCAACTAAACTTTTTTCTACATTACACGACTATGCACCGTAATATACACCGCCATAGACAAACCCACCCTTGAATTATACAATGCGTTACAATACACTACCCTATACTTTAGACTGTAAAATATTAGACTTCTAATATTACACTATGTATTATTCTACCAACCCTACTGTATACCACACTGCTGTATATTCACTATACGATTACGATACTATATATTGCCTTATGAATTATGTTAAACATTACAATGTTATACTATTTATTATTATACAATATGCTATAAACCATACCATTGACCGTCGTGTGAAAGGTATTAAGAGGCAGTGCCAGCGAATGGACTGCGGTCTGAAAGTCACCGTAAAATACAATCAATTAAGAACCGAAATGGTTTATAACGTCTTTCCAATGGTTACTAAGCCAGAATCCATCTTCTCGGTTGAAATTGTCTCTATGTTTGTATATGTGGATGGCCTCATGAACGAATCTCTCATGGTAGCCGGATGGCTTGCAGAGAACCTCCGTCTTGGAGAAGTCAATGTCATGTGAGCCCACTGAATTATAACAGTGATCTGCCATGGCTGAGGTGTTCGTCCTACCGTGTTTCAAGTCTGCTTTATGTTCACGGATGCGGTCCGAGATATGTCGTTTGGTTTCTCCAATGTAGCTGCTACCACAGAGGCAACTTAGTTTGTAGACGCCCGGGTACTTTGGTGCAATATTGTTTCTCTAGTTGCTGCAGGAATTGCAACACATGCTCCGAAATAACGGATCCCTACGCACACAATATAACGCACGTACCATGAGTGTTCCCAATTGATTTCAATCGATGAATGAAGTGTTAAGCTACTTCTTGTGTTTTACATTAACCTCAATTACGCAAAAGGCTAAAAGCATTTAGGAGTTCTGCTTAGGCACTGTGTTCTGGAATAAACTTCCAGGACATTTTGGGAATTTGATCTGTGCCCGTGTAATATGCAGGCTGCCAACCTTGTCAGCACCAGAGTGTGTAGATGACAAATCACAGGAGAGCTCAGTGTTCATCACGACGTTTAACCAAAGCCTACAGCTGCAATAGTCAAATCAAAATTGCTGATAAGGCTCTCGAGTATCTCCACTAGTGACCCCACCTGCAACAAAAATCTGTAGAATGTGTGGGACTAATTCGCGTATAACAGCCCCATGAAGGAAAGTGGCTCCAAGAGGATTTAAAATGAATCACAGCCTATTAGCTCCTTCTGAGAATACCAGCGTTTGAGACATCTGCTTGTAATTACAAGCGGGTATTCCAGTTTCTTTTGCAAGCCCTTGGATACGCAATCAGTGGTGAATGAAGTCCCGAGTCTGTAAATAAGCCTGAGCTGCCCATTATTAACAGCACAAATGACGCGATGACAACACATCAAAATTCACATACCATGGTCACTTTGACAAGAGCCATCCTTTTCTACCTCTCCCAGTTTGCAAGACTTCGCTCCGACTTCAGCAGTAACTGTTAAAATAAAGCATTTCATTTCATTTTAAATACAGAAACCGTGCTGTATATTGGCATTTCAAGAGCTAAAATAAACATCACAAACTTTGCATGTGCTTCACAAAGAGTCGTATAATGTGAGAAAAGATCCAAAAGGCTCAATGAAACGATTTAAGTGACAAAGAGTGATTGAGCATAGGCAGGCAATGAGGTGAAGCCGCTAGTTGCTCGACTTGTTATATCAACATCACACTGGCTCCTCTATCTTCCTCCCGCTCGCAAAGAAGCTGAAAAAGTTGTCACAGGAACATAGATTATACGGTGATATATACTGTTGATATCTAAAAATGATTAGAGCGAAGGTTTCCAGCATGACTCTACCGAATCAAGTGACGCGTGGCAACGTACGCTATCTCGTTACCCTTGCGATGAGAAAGTCTGGCAGGCAATACATAACGAACCAACAGCTTGTTTCCGAGAGGCCGGAGCTTGACAAACGACCACATTATAAACGGGCACCGAATTGAGCCGGAAGGAAGCCGCGTAAAGCGCCACAATATTGCTCGGGGGTCAGACGTGTTCGCGCGCGGTGCCGATTGATGTGTGCGACCTCTTGACCCCCCCGCGCTGATGTGGGCCGCGGGGTGGAAGGACGGACGGGTCACCTTGCGCGCAGTAGCCCATGCAGCCTTGCGTGGGCCGCAGGTAGTAGACATAAAAGTCGCCGCAGCTGCGAACGGTGACGGGGATGCGGAAGAGGCAGCAGTCACGCGCCGCCGCGCCAGGGAAGAATTGCCAAGTGGCGCAACCCGTGACCTGCCGGGGAGACTCTCCAGGCCGGGGCAGTTGCTCCGAGTCGCGAAGCCACAGCCACACGGGCGCCTGCGTCCCGCAATGGTTCATCTGAAGTGGGGGAGGCGGTTGCAAGGCGAAGCAAACCTTTGAGCAACTGTGTCCATCGTAAGCACTTCCGAATGGCATGGTTGGCTACGTACGGTGTGAAAGATGTTTGACACATGTACTTACTAAGGATCGAACCACCCCTCTCTCCTCGCCTCGTGATTTGATGAATCGCTATGATTCTCGGTCGTGATTGGATTTAGGAATCAGTGTTTTTTTTGTCTCAAATGCACCATTTCACTTGTAGTCTTGGTCTTTTGTATATTCTATGCAATTGAGATCGTATATTCTGTTTTAATCTCTCGTTTTGTTTCCCATTTATTTTGTCTCATTTTTACGATCTCAATTGCATAGTTTTTTGGCGTTTTGTATCATTTGTACAGTTTTCGTCCACTCCAGTAGTCTAAATCTAACGAATAATTCGTTAGATTTAGACTGAAAAAAAAACAATACCGTACACGGCCTGCAAAGCTCACATAAGTGAACACTAACATGTGTAATCCGGGTTACTTTACATGCTGGTCAGAAGTAGAGAGGTTACTGCTGTTGTCAGATCAATAAGTTATTTTGGCTGTTAATGTAATATCTTGCATTTGAGCGAGCTCCCCTTCCTCCTGTACCTCCAATAAAAATGCTAGCAATCAAAATGATCAACATATATTAGAAAGATGATCACGACAATGACAAAGTGAGAACCATTGCCATCATCAGGATCACAAATTCACTTTGCAAAGAAATATAAAAATATGAATAATCATCATAATAATAAAAGGTCAATATATTTGTTTTACAATGAGAATGTAATTCTCTACAGACTATGAATGTGATTCACTTCATAACATGGTGGACATTAATGAAGAAAATGGATCAAAAACTGAAAAATGTGTAATGAAACATGGAAAGCATCCCTAGAATTACACCGAGAGACAGCAAGAGCGATGAACATATGTTGAACTTCTTTCGCACCGTACGTAGCCAACTGATAAAATCGGAGTTGTGGGGAAAGGACAACAAACCAAACATGAAAAATCAGTTCTAAGTAAATCAGTTTTCAATCGAGTGAGGGTTCAGAGAGGACACGCTGTTGTTCTGCATTGCTTTCATCCAGGGCGACCCTCACCAGCACGCACTGCGTTGGCATCTCGGCGGGCCGGCCGGCCAGCAGCAGGCGATACCAGCCCGGCGCCAGCGAGTGGTCACACACCAGCTCGTGAATTGCCGACTGCTGGAGCTGCAGAGAGTTGAAGTCCACGCTACGGTAAGCGTTGTCTATCACGCGGTGCCCGTCCGATAGACACTCCGGCGCTGTGGGAAGACAGACGTGAGTGCGCATGTGAATGAGACTCGGAGATGGTTAATCTGTCATTTTCCGCATGAACGGACGATGAACGGAGACCTGCGAATAGGCAATGCTGCATGGTTTCATGTCGGGTGGATGCCACTTGTTAATATCATACACCCAGGAGCAGTCGGTATCGCACATCTATAATTGCCCTTTACCTAGGAAAGCCTCTTTGGGTCTCAAGAACCCTTTTCAGGAGAGTCCTGCATTGGGTGGGTTATTTAATTCCATTAATATGATTTGGCTTTGTGTAGGAGGATAGTGGAGGACCTGAAAGAAACCTACGCATATGAGGGGGTAACGCTCAGATCTCCATACAGATATATATATATAAGAACCCAATATTGTTCTGCCATCTGCCAGCCACATTGCAGCTCAGACCTACCTGGCTTTCTCAGGCAGTCTCCCATCAAAACACTAAGAAGAGACCAATCCTCCTTAGCTTTTAGATATTTGACAAGATCGGCTGAATTTAAGACTAATTTTGTGATAGCCAAATGTACTCATTGAGTAAATTTGCATATACATAATGATCCTGAAATAGAATCTGTATTTTTAATAAGGGTCTCAGGTATGACAGCCAACATCGCCCCTTGTCATCCGTCTCAGAAGTTTGTGGGGACAGGCCGGAGAGAGAGCGTTCGCATGGCAAGGTGACCCGGCAGGACACGACGCACGAAGCCAGACCTGTGATTTATGTACCTGTCCAAACACGTGCACACACCTGACCGACACTGGCGATGACCCGACACCACGCGCATACCAAAGCAGGTCTCAGCCGAATCCGCAGGTCAATCCCGCATAGCCATGTGCTAACAATTTGAGTCAAAAGTACTTTAAAACAAACAAAACCGTTCAACTCCCTCATTTACTACCTTCACGGGATTCATGGCAGCTGAATCAGCTGCTGGCGTTTCTATTTCTGGAAAGCAATGTCTGTGCATACCAAGTCACCCATACCACAATAGTTGTAAAAAAATAATAATTCCACTCAAGTTTGTTCACACAATAGACGTATCGTTTTGTTGAAAGGTGTCAGTTGAAGCAGAGGTTGTTGTGGTTTCTGCTCTGTGTACTTAACTAACCCACATATGAGAGTCTTGACGAGGTTAAGGGCAGTGTCTCAAGACGCTGATGAAAACTGTTTCTTGTAAATAATTCGTTTTAAGGCATATTGTGAGATGTAGCCGATGCTATTGTGACCTGCTTTACTTGTTTGTATATGCATACACATATAGGTATAATTTCCAATATACTTAACTGTATACTTATCGTCATATGATACGTGATTTTATATGTAGTGAATAGTGTAGCATCCAAAATTGTTTCGAATTTATAAATATAAAACACTTGTCATAAATACCACCAGCTTTGTGCAAATAAATATGTATTTATACAAGTCTGCAACTATTTAAACCTTTGTCCGTAACGTGTTCAAGCCAAAATGAAATGTCCATTTTTGCCAACATCCTGTCGTTTTTTCTGCCAACTGTGGTTAACTATAATGCTGGCAACATTCCACCGTGAGCATTTGTGATGGTTCATACATTGCACAGTTGGAATAGCTGCTGGAAGTTATTATATTAAGCAGCTCGGAGTGAACACTGATTTATCTTTTTTTTTAAAACATCACACTTTATTATTCTGAAATCACGTTAACCTTTTTCTACAAACTTTGCAACAGCTTAAGATGCTGCATACGATAGTGTACGACTTGCCCACACCACAATATACGAGTGCCGTAAACGGTAGGCATGGAACGAATAGAGGCAGGTAACAAGTGCATTGATGCACTCCTTCTTTGATATGGCCGATGGGAGTGCAGAGCAACAACTACAATCTCATTAGTGAGAGAGAGGTGTTATCCTCAGGGTAGTTCTGAGCACATTTCTGTGCTTGTTGTCGGAATTTATCATTCAGAGGGCTGCAGAACATTCCGCTCATGGGAACAAAACAAGCATCTTGTGTGGTTGGTGGTGCTTTGTGGGCAGTAGTGCATGGGAAGTAAAAAAAGCTTTAATTGCAAAAGCGACTGAAAAGCCACTTGGCTTTCTGCTGTGGGAGCTCAGAACCCCGATTCAGTGACCGCCCAATGGCGAAATCTCATCACCGTGGCTGATGCTAGCAGAGCAATAAGTTATTGCCATAGACCAGTTAGAGCGAAGGGTCAGCCGTGGACATGCTGGTTGCAAGTGTGGTCCGGCCAGACCCTCAACAAAGCTCGGTCCAAGGATAGTGTCCGCCTGGCACATCCATCTGCTTGCATTTGAGCCAAAGCAATAAAATAAAATAAAGATCGTAAAAAAGTTTTTTCCGATAAATTGCACATGTATTTGTTTCTCCATTCTGACACAATAATTTATGTCAAAACTATCGCCGTCTCTAAACAGAAGAACTACATTTTTTTCAAATGATTCTACATTGGAAGTTTATGAACCCACAGCACATTTTTGGCACTGCAAATCTAGAGTGTAACCCAAGGTTTTGGAGCACCAGTGGTTAGTATTTAGCATCATAAAACATTTGACAGTTCTTTTTTAGCGCTGGCCAAGACAAAGCGATCCACAACGCCAGCAGTGTGAGCTTTTGACCCAGTGTTGCGAGTGAACCGGACGGCAGAATGGGGGACGCCTGTAAATGTCCACACTGGGCCATCAAACCCCCCGTGTGAGCCCCAAATTAAGAGCTGTGTATCTACACGGTCATACGCCAATATTATCCACAGGTGCCATTGGGTCCGCAAAAAACTCCAATTATGCGTAGCCCTTCTCTTCCAATTGTCTGCCATCATTTTCCAAGTTTATTTGCAGAACAGCTTCCAATCATACGCACATTTTACGTGGTTAGGAGGAGTCGCATGGAAAATTCGTCCAATTACCCACGGGCTATCGACTGGGATTGACCGCCTCTCTTTCTCGGCATGCACTTTGGGAAAATATGGCATTACTTCAATTACCGTGCAGGCATCATTCAATTATGTTCAGTCAGGAGAAGCAAAGCAGTAAATTCTTCCAAATATCTGCGATTCCGCCCCCCCACACACACAGTTAAGTGGAGTAGTTTTTCGAGTAATCCCAAAGATAAGGGGCTCTGTGATATTCGTCCTCCACATTACAGTGGATAATAGGAGTGCTCCTAGAGATGCACGTGAGTCTGGCGTTTAGCTCGCACATTTACCACATGGCGTTCGGCGGGGCGAGTGAACTCAGCTAATTCACATGCCAGAAGTTTAAATTTGGTACAGTTATGGAATAAAGTGTATTAAATAATTATTGTTTTCTTGGACCAGTGGGTGGCCACCATGATGCCAATGGAACTTTGCCAATGGAACTTTGCATTGAGCAGAGACAGTGGTCATACATCTGCAGCTGATGCCCAGCGATCACGTTACTTGTTCTTACCCTTCAAAAATAATTTGGGGAATTACATCAAAGCGCTTGTTGTTCATTAGCTATAAGATTATTGAAAATATTTCCTCGGATGTAAAGTCATTTTCTACTTGACACACAGTACAATACTGGATTTATCAGAGGAAAAAATAATCATAATCTTCATGTGCAAGACTAAGTGTTGATGGGTTTTAAATAGTTTGTAATAAACGTATAAAAAGAAAGCTATATTGCCTCGTATTAACGGTCTGATGAAATAAAAACTCTTTTATAAATGCCCCACTTCTGCAAAATGCTTTATTTTTTATTCCTTTGTACAGGGATCTGAGGATTCTCATTCTGTTCTTCCTTTGTCCTTGAACTTCCAGCCTGTTAAGCTAGAACAAGCCAATCTGCAACAGATGGTGCAAACGCGCACTCAAACATTTATGGAGACAGATGCACAAAAAAAGTCAGCTTTGAATTACTTCAGCAGAGCGTCGTCTCATCACGCTTGGGGAGGCGGGCCCGGGTTGTTACAGAAACTCGCGGAAACACGCCTGCCAGCATGGTTACACAACAGCTGCCAATGCGATCACACCTCCAAAGTGTGTACATTATCGAATGGACGCACACTGGAACCACAATCGCTCACTGGTTTCCTAAAACAAAAAACATTACTTTGTGCTCTAAACTATAACATTCAAATGCACAGGATTGCAAGAGAGCTCCTTTTGTCCATGGCACCATTACCCGTGCTTCCTATTATCCATAGCAGCCGGAGCGTCCTGGAAGAAACTCTTATTATCTGAGGTGCTATTCTTCGTCTTATCCGTGATTTTCTAAAGTTTTTTCCCATCCTGCTCTGTGGTGCGACTTTCTATCTTCCACAATTTTTGTGGATAATTAGGAGGTGAATTGCAAATTCATCCAATTGTCCACCATTATCCATAATCTTCCCCAGAGATAAGTAGAGTAAAATCATGGATATATCACTATGGATAATAAGATCTGTGATATTGGTCCCCCAGATCAACACGGGCAAAAGGAACTCCCCTTTTGTTTAATATAAATCTAACAAGTTTGTATTGCAGCAACATTTTGTTTTAAATGTGTTTATGTTTTTAAAAAAAATACTTCTGGTATAATTCTTTATCTCCTCATGTACAAACTCTTTGGAAGAGCATCCAATATATTTTTATCTCTTCCCTAAAAAAGGAAATATCTCTACAGTACTGTTTATGGTTAAATACTGGGTGTGTTTCAAATGCTCTAATTGCATTTCTGGAAATAATGAGAGCAACGTTTTTTCTCTAAACACAATTAAACATGGAACATATTTGTTACGTTGCTTGCTGCCAATTGTGCCTCTAGCAGGGCTACTAAAGGAGGAATGTCACATGCTTGTGCTCCAAGACCACAAATCAGCGGCTCTTGTGGGTTTTTAGACCTGGTGAGGGCACATTTACATGAACGCAACATGGTGCGATATAAATTAACTTACAGTCACGTCTCTTGCGTTGCTCTGTAAAAATGCACAGCCTTTTTTACACAAATGAATAACAGGATTTAAACAACATTCTGGGAATTGAAAA